CACAGGTTTTGCAGCAGAGCACAGAGGCTGATTGAGAGTCACACCAGAGGAAGGAGAGGGAAGGTGGCCAAGGTCACTCTGGGGGGGTGCAGATCTGAGGGCTGCCCACAGAGCCAGGAGAGGAATGCTGAGGTTAACAAAGGTGTAAGCAACAGCAACAGTGGCCCTTCCTGGCTCTGTGCTTGGAAGCTTCCCCTGGAGACCGGTGCTGGTGTCACCCCCCTGGGAAGAAATGGTAGAACCTAGAGGTTCTGACCCATCCTCCTGCTCTTCCTTGTCCACCTCTAACCCCACCCTGCAAGGACCAGGTGGGGAGCAGAGGTCTGGAGTAGTGGGGGACTGGCCACCAGTGGCAAGGGGGTACCAGGCATCCCCACTTTCCCAGTGGGCTCTGCCTCACAGAGGTTGCCCTATACACTCTGAAGCTCCCACCTGCTCCTCTTCCCTTCACGCAGGCGCATCTAGGGGTGGGGGGGGTGCATGTGTGTGTTCAGGACATGCAGGGGCTTCCCCTCTTCCCAGCATCCAGAACCGAGGCCAGCCCCGTGGCCATCTCACCTGTCCTGGTCGACCCCCAGATGTTGGCCCTGGCGCCTTGGTTACTGTTTTGGGATCGGCCATGCGGTAGCCCTTCCACTCTATTTGAGTTTGATCGCCCATAAAAAAATTAATGGTCCCTGCAAATAAAGAAGCATAACAACAGAGGAAGGCTTTTTAGACAATCAATTAAAAGCCTAGGAGAGGGATTATCTCATTGAAATATCAATTTTTAATAGAACCACGTCTTTGAGTTTCCTCTCAAAAAACTTTGCACACTCCATTTGCCTGCCCTGGTTTATAACTTCATCTCTTGCTGCCTTTGACCAACCTGAGCCTTCGGGACTGGCCTCAGGGCACCTAGAGCAGGTGCCTGAGAGGGAGCATGGAGGGTCATTCATTCATTTGCTCACCCGTCCTTCTACTCATTCATTCATTCGCTGAACACTCAGTGAGCTCCTGCTATGTGGCAGGTGTAGGTGCTAGCTACGAAAGTGACTAAAAAGTACCCCAAATTCTAGCCCACAGAGAATTCACGGGCTAGAAGGGAGCAGTAGAAAGTCAGCACCAGCCAGGTGAATAAATCAGCAATTGCAAAAGGAGAAGCCATCTGGAAAAATCAATGTCAAGGGACTGAGATGGAGGTTAATGGGCACAGGGGAGGGAATATCTGTGCAGCTAGAGGAGCCAGGGAAAGATGTGAAGAAGGGAAAGATGTTTTGGGGCAGAAGGAACAGCATGCCTGGGGGTGGGAATGGGCTTGGGGGACCAAAAGAGTAAAAAGGAAGCCAGTGGACTGGGATGCTGTGAGTAAGGAGGACATGGTGGGAGATGAAAAGAGATGCCATCCAGACCTTCCAGGCCCCCCGGAGGCTGGGGAGGGCCACGTGGTCCACACAGAGTGCACCGGGAGCCACTGGTGCCGAGGTCCCAGCATCTGCTCTGGATATAAGTCCTGCTTCTCAGTGGCTATGACACCTGGGAAAACTTCTGGGGGGCTGGACCTCAGGGTCCTCACCCGTGAAGGTGGGAGAGTAATTGTGACACCTCACCAGGCTGTCATGAGCATCAAGAGAAGTGAGAGGCAGGCTGCCTGGTGGGGCACCTTTCTTCTCTCTGACCCCGTCCTCCTTAGCTCGGCAGCTTCCTCACCTTAGCCCTTGCAGAGTCTGGGGGATGGGATAAACTTCATCTGATAAGGGATTCCCACCAGCCACATCTCAAGGGATTTTGTTACGCACAGAATTCCGGTTTGTCAGCAGTAGGGTGGGCTTGGGGGGTGGGGGGGGGAGGAAGTGGTCCAGGAACAAAGGTGCCTTTGCTTTCATAGTGCTACCCAGTGCTACCCTACGCCCCCGAGCCTCATTCCATCCTGGAATCAAGATACCTGGGCAACTGGGCAGCTGTCAGGTGGAGGTTTCTGAGATTGGACCGAGGGCAGAGAAAGCTGAGTGTGGCTGAGTGGGCGGTGCATGCAGGCAGAGGCAGATCCCAGACAAAGATCCCCACGCCGTATAGGTATAGACAAGGGCGTGGCACTTCCACACAGACGTGATGGGGTCCTCGGACAAAAGCGAACAGTACTGCTGGGAGCTGAACCCCATGCTGGGAGCTTGGCAAACATGCTTTCAAATCCCCACAGCACCCCATGGTACACATAAGGAAACCAAGGCTCAGGGAGCCTCTTGCCCATTAGGGGTACAGGTGAATCCACATGTTTGGCCGCACTGTCTTGAGTTATTATAATAATGGAGAAGGTCAGAGGAGTGAAGGATCATGGTGCTATTAAGGGGCATAGGGTGTCCCAGGTCCCAGGTGGCGGCCCTTGGATAGGCTGCTTGGCTCTCTGCACCTCAGTTTACTCAGCCGGGTAACAAGATTCCCAACTCTGAGCTGCCTAAGTGAGAGGCTAAAATGGGGTGTGGGAGAGAGAGGGCCCTGCAGAGTATCTGAAGCGAAGAGGGCTTGATGTCAGTGGTTCTCTGCATCACCAGCTCCTTCCTCCCCGCCTCCCGCCTGCTCTGAACCTGCTCAGATCCCAGACATGTGCTGCAGGCTATAGATGAGAACACCTGTGGACTTGCCCCGGTTCAGATCCCAGCCCTGTCATCCACTGGCTGGTCTCTTCTCTCTCTGGGCCTCATTTTTCTCCATCAAACCATTGCTCACCTCCCAGTTTGTTGTAAAGACAAAAATTAAATGATTCCCTGGATGAGGAGCATCAACTCTGGATGATCCTCACCCTCCTCTCCTGGGGAGATCCAAATCCCCAGAGGTGGGACCCCTGCCCTCGGAACTGGAGGGCCAGGTGTGAGCAGAGGGCCACAGAGCTGTCACCCTGTCCAACCAGGCCACTAGTGCAGGTGCAGAGACAGTGCTGGAGAAGCCAATGGCTCTTTCCCAAACCCAGTGAGGGGCCTGTCTGGACTTTATTGTAGAGTAACAGGGACCTGAGACCAAGTGACTTGGGAAACGTGCTTAAGGGCACGTAGAGAGCACCCCCAGGGCCAGGATGTGGAGTGAGACTGTGTTTGTCCAGCAAGGGGGAGCCAAGGCTAGTTCTTGAGTGGGGGAAGGGAAGGCTAGGATGCTCCTCTCTGACTTCAGGAAGCCTGGGAAGTGGGAAAACCATGGAGGAAGGCTTCATGTTTACATCTTTTTAGGCTCTACCTCCTGCGGAAGTGGGGAGTCAGAGCACCATGGAGACAACTCCCAGTGCAGCTGGATCTGTGGGGTTGGAGGAAAACTGGGAGGCTTTCCAGGGAGCCCCACTCCCCTAGGAGGAGTCCGCCTGGGGCCTGGGAGGCAGCTGGCATCTTGCAACCCTGCAATTAGTAGGGAGAGGATCTGGGTGGTGGTGGGGTGGGGGTAGGGCGAGAGCTGCAGCTATTTGGTGGGTGCTGTCTCTGCCTCCAATGTTTCACCCACTGCCCCAGAAGGGTGCTCAGGATGGCTGGCAGGCCCCAGGCAGACAGGACACTGGGTTCTGGGGAGGGAATGCAGAACATAGGCAAAGCCAGAAAAATAACAATAAAGTTGTATTATTGGATGTGGGTTTGGACGACTCAGTTGCTATTGTCCTCATTTTACAGACTGGGAAATGGAAGCCCAGAGAGGGACAGGAGCTTGCCAGAAGACACAGCACCCCCACTCCATCCCAAAGAATGGGGCTAGATACCAGTCTTATCTGGAAGCCTGTGGTACAGGGAGGGGAGGTCACAGATTTCCATGCAGGCCACCCTGCAGGGCTGCCCTGGAGGGTCAGGTTGGCAGCGTGACCTCTGCTGTAGAGGGAGGGGAGCCAAGCCTTCAGAGGGCTGACTCCAGGGCCCCCAGCCTGTCCCTGCAGGGGGAGGAGGGGCTGGGTGGGGCAGTCTGGCCCAGCCAGTTCCCTAGCCTGTCTGGGCACTCCAGGCCTGGGAAGAGAGGCCCTGGCACCGCTGCCCCTGGGCTGCTGCTGATTTGGGTATTCGACCATCTGCCCTGGGAGACTTATCTGAGTTGCAGAAAGACCCATCCGGGACTGGTCCTGCAGGCCCTGCAGTGGGGTTGGAGTTGGGGGGAGGGTGGTGGTTCTGGCTTCAGCCTTCTACCATGCCATCCATCTTCTCTCCTTCCCTCCTGTTCTCTCCCCTCCCCCTTCCCTCTTTCAAAGATGCCCACTAAGCCCAGGCTACCTTGCTGGCTGCTGGCAGGATTCTCTGGCCTCCAGGAGCAGCTGGTGGGATGGGAGAAGCAAATGCACAGCCCACTACCACTCCAATGAGCCAAGTAGGCTGACCTTTGAGGGGCTAGGTGCTTTGATGGGGGAGGGGCAATTCTGGTGGCAGTAGGAAGTTCAGTGTAGTTGGAGCTGCAGGGTCTTCGGGGACATGGAGGGTGGTGGGGCTGCAGGGGAGGGCAGGGGCTGTACCACGTAGGGCCTTGCCTTGGAGGGTTTGGGGTAGAGGCCACAAGCAGGAGCTCAGGCCTCAGAGTCATCTGACCTGGAGTGCCAGCATCCCCACCAATGAGCTGTGTGGCCTTGGGATGGTACTTGATCCCTCTGAGGCTTTGCATCCTTGGTCAAAAGTGGGAAGACATGGTAGCACTGGCCTCAACGGATGTGAAACACATCGTGTGGCTTCGTCTTCCGCAGTCGCCCCTGCGGGGAGTTCTGGGCCCACGCCTGACACACGTACTCGGCCCGCTAGAACTTGCACTGACTTTGGGCCAGCGTCTTCCCTTCTCCAGTCACAGCTCCCTTGCCTGGCTGACCGGATCAGGCCAGAGGAAGAACCCTCACACGGCCTGGGGGGGCCAGGCAGTAACACAGTTGAGGTGCCTGCTGAGCAAGGCTGCGGGCGGCACCCGCCTCTCCACCCAGCGGCCACGGCCACACGGGACGGTGAACCCAGTGTGCTCTGACGAGCTGATGCCTCACAAGAAGGAAACCTGCATTTTTCTGCGAAACTCCCCATTACTAATATTAGCCATGCATTTAATACAGTTTTTAAAGCATCACGGGAGCCAAAGCTGACGCTTCTGTTGGCAGATGCTGCCACCAAGAACAACGGGACGAAAGAGCCTGGAGAATCTTCCAGCCCTGTGGTCTGTGGCTGTCTCTCCCCTCCAGAGACTTTGGTTTTCCCTTGGACAATGAAGTGGGAAGCCAGACCCTCCCCTGGCTGACATTCTCAGGAGCGGCCCCGCCCGCAGACAGGGCCGGGAATGGGGCCCCTGCTCAACACTCTCGGCAGAGGTGCCAGGGAGTCTGGGGGAGCCCGCTGTGCCTGCGGATCTGCTCTGTGTCTGGGAATGGCAGGTCCGCCTGCGGCCTGGGGAGGTGGCTCCCAGGGCTGTCGTCAGTGAGGGCCTGGCTCCTGGGGGTCAAAGGGCAGTATTTCAGCCTCTTCTGGGGCCCACTTCCTGTTTGGGAGAGAAAACAGAAAGACGACTGGCAGGAACAGTCCTCTTCCCACAGCCTTTTGGTCGGAGGCCCTGGCTCGTGAGGAAAGACCCATGGCGGGTGGCTCCCCACAGCAGGGTCTTGCCTACTCCCTCCTTTCCCCTCAGAGCCCAGGAGGGAACCTGGGGTCTCTCTGCCAGGATAGCAAACCCCACTTCACCAGCATCACTTGGTCAGGTGTGGCAACACGGGAAATGTTTGGTGCCCATATATATCACTAGCTGGGCTCTGGCACCATCTGGGTCCCAGCACTGTATCCTTAGGGGCCCCTCAGACGGTCACAAGAAAGAAACCCACTGCAGGTAGCTCCCCTCTGCAGGCAAAGAGCCCCTTTTCTAATTAAATTGAACTCCTTTTTGGTGCCAGGCCCCTGCTCAGCACCACTTGAGCACAGGCAACTCGCCCCTTCTGCCCACTAAAATAATGCTGACACAGCCTCTTTCTGCCGAAAGCAGGCCTGCTGCCGAGGATTCCTCTAAAGCATCTCATTAAAGGCAGGTGTCTCCGTGCCATCTCAACTGGCAGATTCAATGATGTGTGCGATTGTGTTCTGAATAACAGTTTCCCCCAGATTTAATATAAATCTGCTGGTTAGAGAGAGTTTACAAATTAAGCATCAAAAATTAAAACTACCTGCAATTTCATTACCTAGAACAGGGCTGGGGGAAAGATAAAAGAACTTATTATTTATTGTTGCTTATACCTACTTTTGGTCGCCTAAACTTCATCCCTGTGGCAGAGCCCAGCTGGCAAATCCCTCCTCTCTGGGGCATACCTTCAAGTATTTCAGTAACAACTAACCTTCCCTGAGTTCCAGATGAACTCATCCTATTCTCATGAGAGCTGTATGAGGCACCTAATTTATAGATGGGGAAACGGAGGCTGAGAGGGGTCAAGTCACTTCGCCATTGGTGCACAGCCAGTGAGGGGCAGAAGCAGAGATCTGAATCCATCCGGTGCAGGATCGTTGCCTCCTCTCCTCCAGATTAGACATACACCATACCTTTTCCTTCCACTCACACTGAGCAGCTCAGGTGTTCATCCATTCATTGTTTCTTACATTCGTTCATTTATTAAGTCACTTGACATTCCTGAGCTCAGGTTGCGTGCTAGATGCAAGCTCATGCCGCCCCTACATCACCTGCCCACATCTGCCACACTCTCAGGACTCTGCCCCAAGAACCCAAACTCCATTTATTACAAAAGACTGGGTTTATCACATTGTACTGTAAACAGCTCCCCCTGACCCCAAGGTTCAGAGAGGGAGCCTGGGTCAAAGCCCCAATGGCCCCCTTTGACATCCCCCTCACCCCTGCATGAAGGTCCTAGGTGGCTCAGGGTGCTGAGACCGGGCCTTGGAGTGGTCCTGTGTTTATAAGACCAAATGGGTCCAAGGACCCCGCGCACTTATGTACATGTATAAAACACAGGCCATGGCTTCCCTTCCACTGGGTGTTGCCAGGGCAGGATCATTGGCGCCCACCCTGGGAGAGGAGGAAGACAGCCATGGCAGGGAGCACTGGCAGCTGCCTCGGCTGGAGCGGCCGGTCGGCCCGGACACCAAGGGGCCTGTGGTCACAGGCTGGTCCTGTCTGGCCCTGGCAGCTCTAGGCCACTTGGATCTGCAGGTCCTCGTCTTCATCCAGGTCACTGGCTCCGTCCCCAGCCTCCTCGGTGCCGAAGCGAGCACTTCGGATCTTCCCAAAGAGGGGTGCGTTCTGCTGCTGCCTGCGGAGCCTGTGGAGCCAGGAGGCAGGAGGGGGGAGGGGGGACAGGAGGGTTGGGGGCAGTCTGTCACAGGGGGTTGGGGGAACACTGCAAATGACTGAGCCTTCCCTAGCACTTCCCTGCTGCCAGGCACCAGCTGGGGCCTTCTCCCTCCAGTATCCCATGTCACAGCATCCTCCTGGAAGCCGCTGAGGTGAGGGAGGTGCTACTGTCACCCTCGTTTTACAGACGAGGAAACTGAGGCACAGAGCAGTCAGGTAATTTGCCCAGTCCCCTAGACCGCAGGGAGAGTCAAAGCAGACACTAAAGGTCACACTGCTAGGATTCGAACCTATGCCACGAGGGGAGAGTTTGGGGGTGGTGGGTCTGAGTCCCCTAGATCCCCAATGACAGTGAAAAAGTGCTCCACCCTAGTTCTTCCCCACACTGAATTCCTAAAGCCAAAGTTTATGAGGGCTGGTGGAGGAAATGCCCATCCCCCAGCAGAGTGGCCGTCTTGGCTCCATCTTACTGGAAGGCATGAATTATTAACACGGCAGGGAGGGGGCCAGGCGGGGGCCTCCATTACGGGGCTGTGATTTAGTGAGCTGTCCCCGGAACATTAAAGCACAAAAAGTTGGAAAATAAAACGAGGCAGCAGTCCTGGGCAGCCCTGCCCTCCCCGTTGGAAGCGCTGGAGAGGCTGGGTACATACAGCCTGCTTGCCTCCTTCGGAACAACGTGGCCAACGCTGTGGTAAAGCCCGGGGCTCGGGGCCTCTGAGGGGGTATGACTGGGTGGGGGCGCAGAGTGGGCAGCCTGGGCCCCCATGCAACATTTTATGGACATCACCCCAGGCAGATGGGGAAACTGAGGCTAGGCTGGCAACGTCACACAGCTGTCAGGTCTATATTCCTAGCCACACTCAGCACGTGGCAGCATATAGTATGTGCTCCGTAAATCTGGGCACTGATGGCTGGGGGGTGGGGGTGGGGAGGGGCTATCTGGCTGGACCACCTGCCAGCTGTGTGGCCGGGGAAACACCCTCTTAGGCCTTAGTTTCCTTATCTGTCAGCTTTCTAGAAAAAAAAATCTTCTACTTCCCTTCTGTCATAGGAGCGTGATTCTTGTACAGCGTGGGACCCAAACAGAAGTACAACTCCTCCCCCCAACCAGAGCCCCCAGCGGCCTCCCCTGGATGCGAGGGGAGTAGCAACAGCAGCAGCTGACAGGTCCTCTGCACATACAATGTGCCAGGCACTTTTATAAGCTCAGTTAAACTGACACAGAGAGGTTAAGCAAGTGGCCCAAGACCACACAGACCATTTCCAAGCTAGTAAGTGTAGAATCCCACCCACCCAGGCAGTCTGGCTGCAGAGCCTGCGTCACTCTGTCCCGTGGAATCAGAGGATGCGAGTAAGGGCCTGGCACAGGGAGATAGCACAGTGGTCCTGACGCCCCTGGCTGGTGGGGAGTGCTTGTGGATTTAGGAGGGCCTCGGACTTGGCTCTCTGTCACCTTATGGGCCTAGGGAGAGTACAGGGAGAGGGGGTGACTCACAGAGTATTGGGATGGGTGGTCAGGGGAGGGAGGAAGAGTGTGCTGGGTGGGTCCTCCAGAGACCCCTCGGTCATTCCTTGGTTCCTCACCAAGGCTTCGGCTGATGGGTTGGGCCTACCATGAGGGCTGGGGCTCCTCCCTGCTTCCCTGTGCTCCTATCCCTGATTCTAGCCAGCTTGGGGTTCACGGCAGCCCGGGGACCCTGAGGGCTGCTTGTTCTTGCTGCCCCTGACTCCCCAGATCCTTTGGACCTGACCTCTCCAGCCTCCCCTTCCTTCCCTCTCACCACCCACCCACCTGCTTGCTAGCCGGTCACAGGTCACACAGGTCACACGTAGGAGGTGGTTGCAGGGCTCTCAGCTGCTCTCACTTCCTGCACTTTCCTGCCCTGATTTCCTGGCCCTGGCCCTTCCTGCCTGGAGGGGACAGGATTCTGGCCCCAGGGGTTCCGGGTCTCTTCCTTCCCCACCTTCCCCTCTGGTCAACCTTGACCCGGGAGGAAGTCTCCTGCCCTGTTTCTGTGTCCTGGTTGGGAATCCTGCCCCCGCAGCCACGCCACCCCCCTCCGCCCCTGCCCCCATCCCCGCTGCTGCAATCAGGGCTGTGCGCCCACCTGGACTGCAGATGCTCCAGCTGCACTTGGAGGTTCTCGCTCTGCTCTGTCTGCTCGTCCAGCGACCGCTGCAGCTTACGTGCCTGGTTGTGGGCCTCATCCAGCTGGCGGGGGAGCAGGGCCAAGGGTGCAAAGGTCACCTTGGGTCAGCCTGGCCTGTCATCTGCCCAGGACCAGCCACTCCTGCCATTCCTCTGCCTTTCCCAAGAGCAATCCCTGTCTGTCCCTTGAGGCCCAGACCCAAGGCCCACCTCCTCCAAGGAAGCTTCCCTTTGCTCCTTGCCATCCCTGCCACCCTTGCCTTCCAAATCTACATATCTTCCGAGACCCTGAGCTACTGATTTGGCCATCAGCCCACCTACCACTCTCTCCCTATGGGTTTTTTCATCTGACCATTCATCTGTGGACTAACATCTGCCCATGAAAAGACACCTACCTACCCACTTGCCACTGCTTATTCTACTTGACCAACCATTCACCCCATTCTATCTGCTTCTACTCTCCTAGACACACCTATCATCCCATCTGTCCACCCTTCTGTCCATTCATCCTTCTATGTGCTGTTCCAACCTAGTTATCTAGCCATCTTTCCACTGTCCACAGTCATCTATCTTTTCCGTGCATCTATATACTCATGAATCCATATACTCATTGGTCATTCATCCAGTAACCCACCTATCCATCCACCTATCTACCCATCCATCCAACCACTATCTCCCCATCCCCCTACCCAACCACCCACTCATCCAGTCACTCACCCATCCACACACCTATCCACCCATCCTCCCATCTAGTCACCCACTCATCCATCCAGTTACCTACCCAACACACATATCTATCCACCCATCCACCCATCCAGTTAGCTACCCATCCATTCACCCTTCCAGTCACCCCCCTATCCACCCATCTACCCATCCAATCACCTACCCATCCATCACCCATCCAGTCACCTATCAGACATCTATTGTTATATTTCATCCATCCCCCTCCCGCTCCCTTCCTCATCTACCAGCCCTCTATTTTCTCAGCCATCTGTTCATTCATCCGTGGAGTTACTTTCTTGTTCCATTTCCACATCTAGGTGCTACACAGACCACCGACATGTCCACCCACTCACCCCTCCACTAATCTATCCAGCTACTCATCCACCCTGCCTGTCTGTTTTTCTTTGCACACTATCTACCACCCACCAGACGCTGCCATCTCCACCCCCGCCCCCACCCCCCACCCTCCCCTGGGCCCCTCTGGGCACTGGGGTCCCAGATCACAGTGACACGGATGGCCCCTGCAGCCCCGCACCTACCGCAGCTGAGGCATGAGGCCACCCTCGGGCCCCAGTGGGTGCTCACCTCGTCCTCGGCCTGGGCCAGCTCCTTCTTGAGCTCCTCCACCCGTAGCCGCAGCTTCTTCACTTCTGCCTCGTGCTGCTCCACCCGCCGGTTGGCGTGTGCCAACTCGGCCACCTTCTCCTGAAACTGTTTCTTCAGCTTGGCATGCACGTGCTTCAGGTCTGCCAGCTCCTGCAGGGAGGACGGTGTCAGGGGGTACCTGTCGGCTCTCCGTGTGCCTCCCATGTCCAGAATGAGGCCTACACACAGCAGGGGCTCTGCAGACGTGCGGCCGATTGGGTGGGTTCCGTGCCAGAGTGAACATCGAGCACGGGCACGGGGCCCACCGGGGTCCAGGGCCGGCACCACCTCTACCTCAGCCGGCCCGTGGGCTGGAGCTGGACACACAGTGGGTGCTTGGCCCTGGCTGCAGTGGGGGCTGCCCCAGCCCCCCGCCCGGCCCCAGCCGTACCACCCACTCCCCCACCTTGTTCTTCTCAAAAAGTGCGGCCTGACTGGCCCGCAGGTCACAGTCCAGTGCGCTGGCTGTCTGCCTCCGCCGTCGGGCCAGTGCCTCCTCCAGGTCCCCCACCTGTGCCCGCAGCTTCTTGTTCTCCCGTTCCAGGCCTAGCTTCTCAGTCTCCAGCCGCTCACGGCGACCCCACTCAGCAGCGTTCTCTGCCTGCAGCCGCTCCATCTACCACAGGGCAGGACAGGGTCAGGGCTCCAGGGGGAAGGGGGCACAGGAGGGCCTGAGCTGCCTCCCCCCACCCCCACTCCTTCTCCTCCTCGTCCTCCTGGAGCCATTTTTGGCTCCAGGAAGCAGATCCAGCTGCAGCAGCTATAATTAACCTGAGCTGGTTTCACGGTGTGCAGGATGTGGGGGTGCTTCTGGTCCCCTGGTCCCCGTGTGGGAGAGAGGCCCACTGTCCCCTGCAGCCCGCCCACAGACCGGAGCACCTTCTGGCCCTCACCTCAGCACACAGACCTGGTTCTTGCCCTCTTCTGGATGGTTGGCTGATGAAGGCAAGGCCCCTGCCCCCCACCCCCCTACCTCCCCGCACCAGCTCCAAGCCCATCTGGGTCCTGCTGGTGGCCTCACCTCACCCCTCAGCTCAGCCATCTTCCTGTCCATGCTGGACCGTGCACCTAGCTCGTCCTCCAGGTCTTCGGACATGCGACCCAGCTCGTCCTGGTGGGCCTCCTTCAGGATGCTGAGCTGCAGGACACAGCATAACCCGGTTCTGTGACAAGCACCTGGGTACACCCCTGGAACCAGCTCCAGGGTCATGGGTGCTGGGGCAGGCGCGCTTAGCAAGGAGCCTGACGTGAAGTCCAGACGCACCCCTGGGTATCCAGGACAGAGCCTAAATCTGCCTGCTTGTGCCACTTCCTCCTACCTCATGAACCATCTGCCTCCCAGAGTCCACTCGTGGCTTCTGTCACCCCATCTTCCACAACAGCAGCCCAGAATGAGCTCTTTAAAAAGATAAATCCAATTGTATTCCCATCCCTGGGTTCCTTAGGATAAGGCTCGACTCCTTTCTATGCTCTCACAAATATGGCTGGACTCTTGCCCATCTCTCCTTTCTCCCCTTAGTTCATTGTGCTCCAGCCTTGAGTCCACAAACACACCGAGTTCCTGTCTACCCCTGGGCCTTTGCATATATGGTTTTCTCTACCCGGTGTACTCTTTCCAGGATTATTTTTATTTATTTTATTTTATTATTTTATTTTTTAATTATTTTTTTTACAGGGTTGACTTTTCACAGTTCTTGGGCCTTGGCCTAGATGCCCCCTCCTCAAGGAGGCCTCTCTCACCCTCGCTGACTACAAGTGGTGCCTCCTTTCTTCTCCGTCCCATTCCCCACCAGGATGTGAGCTGGGGAGGACAGAAAGCTTGTGTGTCCACCTTTGTATCCCTATGTGGCCTTGGCACTGGGTGGCCCTGTGAACTGGCTGAATGCGCCCGGTGGATCCGAACAGGGTCTGCGTGTGGGTGCGGGCTTGGCCACATCAGGATCGCCTGCAGTGGTGGCCGCACGGTGCAGGCCCTGCACTGCGCATGTGCCGTGCATGAAGAAAACCAACAAACTATCACTCTGTGTGATGGTGGGGACGAGCCCCAAATCCACGACACTGAGGGAAAGAAGCCAGTTACAAAGGAGAATCTTTAGAATTATCTGCTAAACTGAGCACTCATGCTTTATTCACTTTTCTGCAAATGGTTCATCATTTGAAAAGACTCAAAAGGCAGATTTCTGCCCCCCTGCCCCCCAAGATGTCACTTGAGGAGGGCGAGCATTTTAGGGTCTTCCCTAAGAGAGTCTACCATGAGACAGTGTCAGTTGCTTCCAGGGCAGTTCCAGGCTCTGAGGGCTGGCATCTCTGCTCCTTCTGGAAATGTCGCAGGTCCTGCAGACTTTCCCCAGGTGGCCGCGCCCCCTGGTGGCCACGGGGGCCTGCACGGGAGGCAGGGGCAGCCACCCAGGGGGCCCCGCTGGCCGAGTCCCCATACTGCAGGCCCTCTGCCAGCTGGCGCCTCAGTTTTGTCATTTACAAAATGGGGACCTCAGGGTCCAGCATCCTTGACTGCCCAGAGGCAGGAGTGACAGGGAGCACACACTAGACTCGGTCGGTGAATCCTCCATCCAGACTTGTCCCCTTCAGCCTGGTTGAGGAAGTCCAGTGAGGTCTGGTTCCCTGGTGACCTCATCCCTCTCAAGGATGGCTTCTTTCGGTCTTGCCTTAAATGTCACCTTCTGAGAGAGGCCATTCTTTTTTTTTTTTTCCCCTTAATTTTCATTTTTTATTTTACTTACTGCTTTGTCATTTTATTTTATTTTCTTATTTTTTTAGACATGGCATTCTTGACCTGCCATCCCAGCTCCCTTATCCTGTCTGACTCCTTCATAGTTTATGAATTTACCTGCCCGGTTACTGTTGGGATCCCCATGCCCCACTCCACAGCCCCTCCCTCCCCAAGGTGAGCTTCTGAAGACAGGGACACAGCCTGCTCGAGCACTCAGGACAGCATGTGGCGCATGGCCAGCGTTTGACAGGGAATGACCAAACTCCCTTCTTTCTCCCACTGCTGAAATTCAACAGTGCGGTGCTGCTTCCTCTAGGAAGACCACCGTTTCTGAGACTCACCTGCTTGAGCATTTCCTGCTTGGTCTTGTTCAGCTCCTCGTACTTGATCTTCCACTGGCTGAGCTCCCCTTCCAGCTTCTCAATGTTCCTGCTCAGTGTCAGTTTATCCCTGGAGAGAGGAAGAGAGAGACAGACATGGGGAGGGCCCACTGAGGCTCTCTGCTGAGAGTCCTCCTGTGCAGCCTGCACCAGTACAGTCTGTGTCCGAAGTCTTTGCCTCAGCATTCAAGGCCCTGGCACCCCATACTATGGCAGGCATGCCAATTTTGCATTCCTTCTGGAGCTGTCCACCCCTCTGACCCCCTGTACAATTGTGGATGCCCAACTCACAAGTGGGCAGGTCACCGGGACTCCAGGGCATTGGTCATCCCTGCTCAAGAGTCTCAGGCTCAACAGCCAAATATGACCTCTGTTCTTGTATGTACTGTGGTTGCCTGTAAGGCACAGTCCTGGGGTCAGAAAAGCTGGAAAACACGGTCCAGTGGGTCTTGGATGGAGGGGTCACCTCTGGTCATTATCACTGGGTTGGGGGAATGGTCTCCTATGATCCCCACTCTGCACTCTGATCTGTGCATGAATGAGATGCTGTGGGTAAAGAGCATGAGACCTGGCCCCTGGCACACAGTAGGTGCTCAACTAACAGCTATATTTATTCTTACTCTTCAGCATGCTTGCCTCCTGACAGCCCTCCCTCTCGGGGAACCGGACATTTCACGCCTCTCACATGGGCTTCTCAGAGGAGACAATGCCACCCTCTAGGAGGCATTTCTGGTAATCAGGCCTGACTGGGTCACTCAGTGGGCAGGGATGAGGGTTGCCTCTGTCCTGCACTGAATGCCAAGGGCCATCCCACCCACCCCGGAATTATCTTGCATCCCCATTTAACATGTGCATGTCCTGTTGGACATCCCTGGGGGTGAAAATCATCTGAGCCTAGACCTTCACTCTGATTTACATATAAACAGAAAGTATCTTTTGTACTAACAGAGCGTTTCCCCAGGAACAGAATCGGTGTGTAAACTGAGGGAATGTTGGGCTTTGCTTTGTTCAGAACTTTGTTCAAAAAGGCTGTTCCTCTCAGGAAATCTTGTCACCACCATGACGGCACTGGTGTATCTGAGTGGCCGACCCCACAATCTACACCTGCGGTTTTTGTAGCTGTCCTGGGAGGTGAGCCCATACACACAAAACCTGACTCTCAGGGCGCACTATGCTGGGAGTACCTGCTGGGAGGGTTATCGTCACCACCCTTCTTTGGAAAGGCACCAGATTCTGACTACATCTGTCCCTTGGACACCGTGGGTTTCAACCACATGGGTCCATATACACGTGGGTCGTTTTGATAAATACAGTACGGCATCGTATTTTTCTTTTTCTAAATGTTTTCTTTCCTCTAGCTTCCTTTCTTGTAAGAATACAGCACATAATACATAGAATACACACAAAACATGTTGATCGACTGTTTATATTACCAGTAAGGCTTCTGGTCAACAATTGGCTATTAGTAAAGTTTTGGGAGGATCAAATTTTAGGGAGTCAGATTTTCAACTGCATGAGGGGGGTGTCAGTGCCTCTGACCCCAACATTGTTCAAAGAACAACTACACTTCGTTATTTCCTCTAGTGGAGCTGGGCCTGAGCATGTCCACATCACATTATGTATATTTGGTTACAAACACCCTTCGTGGGATCCCTGGGTGGCGCAGCGGTTTGGCGCCTGCCTTTGGCCCAGGGCGCGATCCTGGAGACCCGGGATCAAATCCCACGTCGGGCTCCCGGTGCATGGAGCCTGCTTCTCCCTCAGCCTATGTCTCTGCCTCTCTCTCTTTCTCTGTGTGACTATCATAAATAAATTAAAAAAAAAAATTAAAAAGCAGACAAATAAACACCCTTCATTTCTGCTTTATCTTTTGGATTAGTGAAACAGATTGCTTTTTGCCCGTCTTGCTTAAACAGAAATTTATGGTCTTGCAGTCCTGGTGGCTAGAAGTCCAAGCTCAAGCGGTCGGTCTGCAGGGCTGGTTCTGTCTAAGGCCCATGAGAGGGAGCCTGTCCTCTCGTTTCTGGGAGTCTGGGGGCCATCTCTGGTGTTCTTTGACTTACAGAAGCATCCCCCTGATCTTTGTCTTTTTTTTTTTTAAAGTAGGCTCTCTGCCCAACATGGGGCTTGAGCTCACAACCCCATATCAAGAGTTGCTTGCTCCACTGCCTGAGCCAGACAGGCGTCTCCCGATCTCTGTCTTCATACTATCCATGCGTATAATTTCTGGACAGAAAAGGGGGTGTTACAAAATGTTCATTATAATCAGGCCTGTCCCTTGATCAAGGTCACTGGTGACCTCCATATTCTAAATCTGCTGGTCAGTGCTTAGCCCTCTTCTTCCTTGATCAGTTGCTCACTCCCTCCTCCATGAACACAGTGCGCCTGGTTTCCCTGGCCCTTCCCAGACTCCCTTCTCCTGTTTCCTCTGCTGCTTGGCTCTTTCTCTGATCTCTAAACTCTGGCTGACTCCAGGGCTGCATCCTCTGACCTCCCTCACCCAGCTCACAGCTTTTGAAATCACCTATTCACTGCTGACTCCTGCGTTTTTACCTCCAGCCCAGATCTCCCTCATGAAGTCCAGACTCATTCATGTACCCAGCTGCCTCCCTGTCATCTCAAATTCAACTAGGCCAAACCCGAATTCCCATCTGCAACCCTTCAGCCTCCCTGACCCTCCCTTCCCTGCTTTTACCTTTGCCCATGACACTCTCTCCCCACTAGGACAGAAGCTTCATGAGGCGGGGGGTGGGGAGGGCTTGGGTTCAATTATAGCCATATCCTCACTGCTGATTCCAGGTCTGACCCAGAACAAATGCACGATACATATTATTTAAATTAAGAACACAAAACTTGCACTGGGTGCTCCAGTTACAGTACATTGCTCCAAAATTCCAAGCCTAAATAGTGCCCTTCACCTTCAGCAAGTCTCATGTTCCATGACATGGACTTTCATCCTGTGATCCTGATGGTGCCTTGGTGTGCCCCCGCCCAGGCCCTGTTTCCCTCCTGGAACTCACTCTCGCTCCTTGAGCAACACCTTCTGGGATTCATCCAACCGCAGCCGCAGGGCAGTCAACTTGGATGTATCCTCCTCAATGGTGGCTGTGTCTTCCCAGGGTAGCCGGCTGCGCTCCTGGCGGCCTGAGCTGCTCCGTGGGACCCCGGCCCCCATGCTTCGTGCCTCCCAGCAGCCATCAGGCTCCTCTGGTCTGTTCTTCAGCAGGCTCTCCACTAGCTCCAGCTCCTGTAGAGACCAAGGTGGAGGATGGACCGGTGGCTGCTGAGCCCTCACCCCCCATTGCCGACTTCATGAACTTTCCTAGGTCCTGGGTCTGCGATCAGCTTGGTGGGTGACCTTGGGCAAGTCACACAGCCCTTGTGGGCCCCAATTTCCTCTTTTGGAGCCTGCCTCTCCATCCCCTCTATTGGGCCTCTCCCTTTCACCTCCTGGAACTGCATACAGAGTCAGCCACCAAAGTTCCCTGTTATCTTAGGAGATTTCCCAGGAAAGGTGGTAAGCTCCCTGTCACTGGAAGTATGCAAACATATGGTGGGACCTGATGTGAATGGATGCAGAAACAGGGACTCCTACAATGGATAGGAACTAGATTTCCTCAAAAGGAATTCTGGCTCTAAGATTCCATTCTTCAGGAGCAAACGCTAAGGTACTGGGAGGTAGGTGACATAAAAGATGTACAGGAAGGCAACCCCTGTGAGCAGAACCAGCTCCTAGACAGGAAGTAGTGAAGGACTATTGACTCAGTGCCAAGCACCACCCTTCCCCCCATCCCCCCAGCTTCTTATTCCCCTTTGCCCATCCAGCCTTGCCCCTGCTGCACCCCAGGCCTGCCTCTGACCACAAATCTGAGACATCCATGGCCTCTGTTCCTCCAGCCTGGCTTCCCCTATGACCTTTCTAGATGAGTCTATGCCAGCTCCTTCCCTGTCTGGCCCTGTTTCCCTGTGTGGATGGGGACAGTGGCCCTGAGAACTACCTGTGAAGAGAGGTTCTACTAATGTATCTCAGACACAGTCTGGGTGGTGGCCTCAAACGCCACCTGGTTCAAAGCTCTATTTCACAAATGGGGAAACAGGGAGAGAAGGGACTGGTTCTGGGTCACAGAACACAGAAGTGGCTGGGCTGGAGAAAAAAAATCAGACCAAAACCCCAAGGCCTCTGCCACTGCACCTGCTAGCTCCTGGAATGCGACTTTCAGCCACAGCAAGGACAGGACAGGAATAGCACCGTGAGGCTGGCTAACAGGGGCTGTCATCATCTGTCCCAAAGAAGAGCAACAAATGCCACCTCCAGAGGCAGGGCTGGGGGTACTGGAGGCATCAGCCACCAGGAGGCAGCAGTGCCCACTCTAGCCTGCAGGGGTGGCAGGGGCTGGGCAGGGGAGGGGAGAAAAGGGGAAGGGGCAGCCAAGAATCTCAGCTGGAGGAGCTGGACTGTCTGAGGATGGAGCTGGGAGGAACCTGAGCCTGGACTCTGCTCTTAGAAGGCCTGCTAGTCAGGGGCCCGCTGCCCTCACACCCACCGTTCCTGCTCCAGCCATCCTGATTGTTACCATGGGCTTTGGAGGTCACCTGGGTTCAACTACCCAGCACTCCAGTCACCAGGTGGGAGACGTTAGTACTTAATCTCTCTGTGCCTCAGTGTGCTCATCCACAAAGCAAACACCTCTTGGGATTGTGATTGGATTAATTAGATCCTGCACATGCCAGCGTAGTGCTCTCTGTAGGTGCCCACAGGATGACGGGAGCTGTCATTCCCGGGCTCTGGGCTTTTGCATGCCTAGAAAGCCAGCTTGCATATTTCCAGCTAATTCCTCCGCATCCTCCTCCGCATCAGCTTGAATGGGACCTCTTCTAGGAAAGCTTGTGTGAAGCCCCCTCCCCAGAGCCTGGTTCAGGGACCTTCTCTGTGCTTCCAGTACCCTAACAACCTCCACCTCTCAAGCTTTGACTGGTGCGGTTGTAAATGTTGACTCCTAACCACCTCCCCACCCATTCAAGTTGAAAGAATGAATGGACTCAGTTCTGCGGCTAACGGATGCCTACCAGGCAGGTGCTCCGATCGGCTGCTGTCCCGAAGGGGCGATTCTAGGGTTCTGTTGGCTGCTTAGGCGTCGAGTGGAGAACACCAGGTCCCAGGCCTCTCCACCCTCTCCACCGCCGCCAGAAGTCTGGCGCCCTGAGTCCCCGCGGAGCGGAGGCGGCGCAGGAGAGTGAAACCTCCCGGCGACCGAGCCCTCCGGGTCCCCCTCGCGGCCCCGCCCTCCGCCCTCGGGCCCCCAGCGCCCAGGCCCTGCCTCGAGCCCGCCTCCTCGCCAGCCCCACCCGCGCCGCGCACCTGGCTGCCGGGGGGCGCTTCGGCCCCGACGTCGCGCACCGGCTCCTGCTCCCGCTCAGGCTCGGGCTCAGGCCCGTCGGGCGTCCTGTCGGCGGCCCCCCGGGCGCCCCGCAGCCGCGCCAGCTCGCGGCCCCGCGCCTCGCACTCGCCCTGCGCCTCCTGGCGCTCGCGCCGCGCGCCCGCCAGCTCCTTGGTGAGCGCGTCGAGGCGCTGGCGCAGCTGGCGCACCTCCTCGCGGGCGCGGTTGCGCTCGGCGCGCACCTTGCTCCACTTCTCGCGCCAGTTGGCCGTGCAGTCGGACCACCAGCGCATGGTCTTCTCCATCTGCGCCGCCCGCGCGCGCGCCTCCTCCAGCTCCCGCAGCCGCAGCTCCTCGCGGCTCTCCCAGTCCCCGTCGGCCAGCAGCGCGGGCGGCGGCGGCAGCGGCGGCGGCAGCGGCAGCGCGGGCGGCGGCCCCGGCGAGGGCGTGCCGCTGGGCGGCGTGGGCGGCAGCGAGTCGGCAGGGCCCCCGCGCTCGGGCGACGGGCTGCCCAGGATGGTCAGCAGGCTGCCCTTGGACAGCTGCGGAGACTCGGCCAGCCGGGGGCTGGGCCCGTGGCTCATGGTGCGGCCGGCCGGGCGGGCCCCGGGGTCCACCTCGCGGCGGGCTCAGCGGCGGCGCGGGGGCGGCCGGGTGTGCATGACGCCACCGTTCCCCACCGCTCTCCCGGCCGCCGCGGCGGGCGGGACGCCTCCTCCTCGGACCTGTCGGAGAACGCAACCGTTAGCAGGTGGTGGCCCCCATCTGTCCATGCCCGTAAGCTCAGCCACGGGGAGGGCGAAGGGGGCAGCGGGAAGAGCTCGGTTTGCTCCAGGGAAGGCCCCAGGGAGGCGTGGTGGTGGGCAAGGGCTGTGGCCGCTTCCTCCCGGGCTTCCAGGCACCCCCCCCAGTCCCTTCATCCTGCGGCCAAGGCAGCCGATCAAAACCTCGATCTGCTGCTGTCCTTGACTTTTAAGTCGCATTTCACCGAGAGAATGGCTCCCCCATCTCCACCCCAAGTGCAGCATGCTTGCACACTGACATTACTCCCAGGAGTCCCCTCCCTGCCTCTTTCTGCGCTGAGCTAACTCTTCTCATCCTTAAAATTTATGAGATACCACTCCTCCTAGAAGTCCTCCGGGACCGCCTGAAGCCAGGTGGCCAGCCACGCCTGTGCCTCCATTAGTAGTGTGACCAACCTCACCTACCATTTATCTGCTTCCCTGCCTGCTCCCCACCCTCACCCCAGGCTGTGGGTTTGCTGAGTGCAGGGCTGGCTCTTGGCCACTGTTTCTGTCCCAGCATATGATGACAATGACAATGACATTTGTAGAGGGCCAACTACAGGCCAGGTGCCACACCCATGGCCTTATGTGGACTATCTCATTTATTCCTCTCAATAGACTCAAGGAAGAGACTGCCATTTACCCCAGAGGAAGGAGGAGGCTCGGAAAGGTTCAAGCCCAGATGTGATTCCAGATGCGGTATCTAGGAGCCCAAATGCAAACACTGGTAAGAGTATGGTGAAAGCAACGCGTGCTCTGGTGTTCTGATGGGAACACGCCAGTGTCTAGATGGCAGGGGTGGGGACCAGTGGGTGTGCAGTGTGGTGAGGGGTCCCATCGCTGGGCTCTGCTATTCATCAGCCACATCACTTTAAAGGAAAGTGAGTCACAGGTCCTCCTCCTCTCTGTCCCCCTCTCCCTCCACTGTGGTCTTGCATGGACCACCACCACCAGCAGCCCCTTGGGATGTCACACTCTCCCTTCCCCATTGAGCTGAGCCTGTCCCACAAATCCTCATCCCCAATCCCAAAACTCTGCCCCAACGACCAGCTCTTCCTCTGCAGTGCGTGGCTGGTAGGGCTCCCAGCACCACAGCAAAGTGCCTCAGCGCCAGCTGCTCCGGCACGCCTGGCTTACTATCTCTGTCCCCTTTCCACCCTCCTCTCACCTCGAACCCCTCACTCTCAGCAGGTGACCTAATGTTATAGTTCACAGTGAAATGGCACGCAGATTGGCATCTATCAGATTGGCACGCCCTCCGGGTCCTGCCCCCAGGCCCATGGCCTCCTCCTCTCTGCCCCTAAGAAGATGGAAGGGCTCTCCCTCTTTGGGTCAAAGTGTTTCCCATCCCTGACATGGATACCCTCTTCAGGGGGCCTCACCCCTGCCTGAGTCCCTTCTGGCACGATCTTCTCCCTCCCTGCTTCCTCTCTCCTTCTTTTTGAGGCCCATCTACCCTTTTGGTCTCCCTTGCTCTCTCTCCAGGCCACAGCAGGCTGGCGTCCAGCCATGCTGCCCATGGGGCAAGTCTCAGCCCCCGCCAGGGTGCCCTCTCTAGCTGTGGGCACCGTCAGTCCCTCCTGCTTCCCTGCATCAGTCTCTTCCCCGGGCTGCCATGCTCTCTGGTCTTTCTCCTACTCTCCAGCTGTTCCCACCAGCCTTCCTGTGGCAATCTGGGCTCACTGTTGAGTGCTGGTGTCATCTAGTATTGGGCCCTCTTTTCTCTCACTGCCCTCTCCTGAGCCACCGCACCGTGTCCTAACAACCCCAAATCTCTCTTTCCAGCCAGGCTGCCCTCCAGACACCACCCCCTCACCCCTCATCTCTATTTGGCTGCCCCTCAGATAACTCAGACTCAGACTGGTCAAACTGGAACTCATCTTCTCTATTCCCTCCACAACCAGTTCCTCCTTCTGGATGCCCCCTCTGGGAGAAGAGCCCTTTCTCCCTCTTTCATGCTCTGGAGGATGTTCTGGAATCTGCTTTCCCCCTGCACCCTGCCACCTCCAAGTCTTGTGGGTCTGACTGCCACACATCACAAGGAGCTATCCACCTTCCAGCCATGCTGCGACTAAGCTGTCCAGGCCACCACACCACCTCCCACCTGGGTGACCCCAGCCACCGCCTCCCTGCCCTGTCCCCCAGCAAGCTGTGCCTTCTTCAAATCTGTTCTGAACAGCAGCAGCCAGAGTGAGTTTTTAAAAATGCAAACCTGACCATGTCAGAGGCCACACCCTTTGTTGTTGGCAACAGCTGTGACCCCTCTCTATCGTCAAGTCCACGTTCACTCCCTCTAGGAGTCCAACTCCAAAAACTCTTCAATCCCAAGAGGAGCTACGGCCACCTGATCCCACCATTTGTTCACTGTCCGAGCTGCCCACCCCAGCCCCTGTCCCCTTGCCCGGTTCCCACTCCATGACCCTAATCTTTCCTGGCCAATGCCTTCAGTGACCCAGTACCCTCTTCTGTCCTGTTCCCTCTGGACAATGCCAGCCCAGGGCACCTCCACTGCTCTGCCTGTCTTGCCTTCACCTATCTGAGCAGGCATGGCAGCTTTTACCACCACGTGGACCTGGCATCAGTTTAAGTCCATGACTGTTAGCATCTCGGTGCTGCCCAGTGATCCTACTGTATTTCTCTAGTCTGTTTGCTGTTTGTTAACTGTCTACCTCTACCAGGCATCAGTTCTAGGCGCAGCTCTGTCACCAACCTCATGTAAGCCACTGCCCCTTTTTGGGCCTCAGTTTCTTCACCTGTAGAATGGGGGTGGGGGTGAGGTAGACCAGTGGGCTTAAGGAAGGGATCCTTCAGATTCACTTTGACACTTGCTTAAAATGCAGTTCCTGGGCCCTCCCTCCCCCTCTCCCCCACTAAGACTCCTGGTCAGTAGCCATGGGGCTGGGAATTTGCATTTTACTAGTTCAAGTGGGGGACACTTGAGTATTTGGTGATACTTTGTCACCACCCATAGTTTTCATACATACAAACGTGTATGTCTCAACGCCAATAACACCTGCACAAAGTTACAGAAGCCAGACACGGCCACACAGATCTAGGTTCTAGCTCCCTGTATGCCACTAACTTGCTGGCAGGCTGCATGCCTTCTGACTCAGTCTCCCCGTCTGTGCAGTGAGGTGGCAGGCTCAGATGCCATCTGCATTCAGACATCTCTGCACACCCTGCAGTCACACAGGTAATCCCACACACATACACACAGATACGAAGACATGAGGAGACACACGTATCCTTGGAGATGGACCTATATGCACATACAGCTATATGGATGCACAGAGGTGCTCACCTGGAGATACAGAGTCACAGATGTGCCCGACGACAGACACATGCCAATGACAGATGGATACACACAGAGAGACTGCAGATACTCATCCCTGAGATGAACTTGGCCACACACAGACACACATACAGGCACTCACACTCCTCTCCCATTTTCCTGGCCCAGCTCCACGAGAAGGTCTTGGAAAAGAAAAACAATGTGAGAGCCTGAGGGGGAGGGGAGGAGCCAGGAAATCCCAGTGCTAGCCTGGCGCCCACCACAGCTGTGCTGGTCATGGGGACTGGTGGGAGGGTCCTCCAGGCTCTGTCCTCTGGGCCCTCCTGGCTGCCCCTAAACTGAGAGGGTGGCAGGGAGGGGGCCCGATGCCATATTCTCTCTGCCTCTGGAAGCCACCAGGCCTGGCATGGTGCTCGGCGGGATGGGGGCGGGCTCCTTCCAGGAATCTCCAGCCTGTCACGCAGGGGCAGGGCCGGCGCCACCCAGGCCCCTAATGGCTTCCAGGCGCCCATGCTAAAGGCAGGAGTGGGCTCCAGACTCAGTTCCTGTTGCCCTTCCCAGCAGCCTGGCCCAGTCCCTCCTGGGGGCTGAGGGAGGAGGAAGGGGAACAAGGGGGAAAGAGGAGCTCTGAACAGTTCTCCTGCCTTTCCTCTTGCAAGCCCAGGGTCCCCTGGAGGCTGTGTGTGCACGCGTGTGGGAAGCGGTGGGTGTCCAAGGTTGGTTTTATCTAGAAGCACGCTCCCCCAGCACACTGGGAATCCTGCACTCTGTGTGGACTCAGGGCAGCCAGACCCTGCCTAGCAACGCCTCCCCTCACCCCTGCTCCCACCCCACTCACATAACACAGCCTCAGGGACACACACACACACACACACACACACACACACACACACAGCCCTAGTAACGGCCACACTCAGTGAGAGTCATGTAACACAGAAGCTCAGCTCACAGTTACAGAGACAGGCTCTGGCTGCCCTGTCCTGCCCGGCCCCTCCCCACCAAGCTCAGTGACTTCCTCCCATAGGGTGTGTGTTTTCTATGTGTGGGGGGGCCTCCTGATTCCCCAAGGGTGTCACCCCCCCCCAAAGAGCAGGTGGGGGAGGGACCAGCCACTACAGGCCCCAGAGAGCCTGCCCCAGCCCACCCTCCCTTCTGCCTCCTACCAGCCAGACGGGTCTATTCCTGCACTAATCCTCAGGGTTTCTGCTCAGGCTGTTCCCTGTACCCCGCTCTAAAAAACCTCACCCCTCCTTCAGGCTCAGTTCCTCCACTTCCAGGAAATGCCTTGATCTCCTCAGCCCCAAGTGCTCCCTAGGGAGCACAGCCCTACAAACTGTCACAGCCACATCTGGCCAGATGCCCTCTTCTTTCGCAGGGCACACTTCCCCAACTCAGACAGGACACTTGTGCCACCCACAGCTTCTTGGATACAGGATTTTTTTTTAAGGTTTTATTTATTTATTCATGAGGGATACAGAGAGAGAGAGGAAGACAAGGAGAGACACAGGCAGAGGGAGAAGCAGGCTCCATGCAGGGACCCCAATGTGGGACTCAATCCCGGGACCCCAGGATCATGACCCGATCCAAAGGCAGGCGCTAAACTGCTGAGCCACCCAGGGATCCCTTGGATACAGGATTTGCTTAAAGTTGGCTGGTGGGGTAACCAGCAGAGAGCTAAAACCGTGACCTTGCATCCTCTTAGTGGGATAGACCCTCCTAGTGGGACTCAGAGCTCCTGGACCCCAGCCCCATAACTGTCTTCATTGCCCCAGGCAGCTGTGGGCTCACTCTAGGGCAGGAACTAAAATGTTTTGATATCGTACTTGCTTCAGGCCAGGCCCTCATCCACCTTGTCCACAGAAAAGTGACCAGTGGGAGGCTCCTGCTGCTTGTGGAACTGTGTAGATGGTCTCCCCTCCTTTCTCCATCAGCAAACTCTTACACATCCTTCAAGACCCTCCTCTGGGAAGACTTCTCTGGCCTCACACAGAATATGTTAGTGTTCCCAAAGCACTGCCGCCTCCCTGTTCTTCAGCAATGTCATGAGGAAATCTTGGTCTCTCTGGCTGTCATTATGGGGCCCAGCATACAGCAGATGCCCATAAATGCTTTCTAGGCTGATGGACAGAAGATGGACAGTTAGGGGTCCCCTTGTGGAGAAAGAGGGTTGAACTATCCTTTTGGGGCCAGGTTTCAAACCAGGCAGGTATCTGAAACTGTGGCCAAGGTCAAAGTCAGAAGTCATTACATGGCCAGGTCAGGGATTAGGCCTCTTACCTAAGTGGCCCACAGGAGGACAACTTTGTGTTTTGTCCTTGGCACGTTTAGATGAGTCTCAATATCCAGCGAAAGAAGTGAGCAATGCTGAAGCCTGGACAGGGGCCAGCTGAGGGGTTTGGGCATTGCCCAGTGGCCCACCTCTGCCCTCAAGCTCAGAGCTCCACTCTGTCCTTCCAGAACATTTCAGGTGGCGCTCTGGAGCTGCCCATGGCCACAGGCCTGGCTGTGGGAAGGGAGCAGAGCCCAGCAGGAAACCGCAGAGGACAGCCTGATTGGATAAGTGCAGGGTTCAAGGCTGGTCAGCCCACAGACTGCGGGCACCTGTCCCTCGGACCTGCTGCCTGGGCTCCAGCCACTGGATCACCAGTAGAGGACTGAGAGAAGGGAGGGAGGTAAGGAGGGCCTGCAGGATAGACCCGAGTGAGCCTCGGGGTAGGCACCTCTGGCCTGTCCCAGGTATCTCCATCTCAGGCTGAGGAGCCACAAAGATGTCCTAGGTCACATTTAGAACCCCTTTCTTTCCAATGGGCCAACGCCCAGAGGAGCAGGTACTTGTCCACCTCCACACAGAGGACCGGCAGCAAGGTGGGGCTGGAGTGCTGGGATCGGACGCCTCCCCGCCAGGGTTATGTCTACCTGAGGGGCATGATGTCTGCGGATGGGGGCCTCAGGCCCAGCGGCCAGGCACAGCTGGTATGGGAGAGACTGAGGGCGGTGCGCGGGGGCCGGCCTGCCTGCGGGCCAGCGGCCGCCTCTCAGCGACTCCTTGGACTATGCGCCCAGGTAGAGCGGACATGCCCCCGTCCCGGCTCTGCCACTGATACGCGGTGGGATGTCTGCGCCTTTCTGCCTGCGCCTTCTGGGCCTGTTTCCTTGCCTGTACCGTGGGGGAGAGGCACTAACAAGCTCCCTAAAAGCTCCGTCCAGCAAGTGGGCAGACCCTGTGCCAACCCGAGCCAACCAGAACCAACCCGACCGCCCTGTCTGTACAGCCCACACTTAAGATGCGGAAACAGGAGCCCGGGGAGATGGGCTTGCCAGCTCTCCTCCACGGGCGCCGTCGGGACGCCGAGGCAGCTCCAGCCCACTGCATCCTCCTCGCACGGATCCGCCGCTCGTAGCGGCCCAGGCTCCTTCCAGAAATTCGCTTTCTGCCCTCCCACGCCGAGAGTCGCGTCGGGCCCTCCCTTCCTCGCCGCCTCCCCACCCGCCGGGGCCCGGCCCGGCCGCCCCGCTCCCTCTAGCGGCTGGCGGGGGCAGAGGGGGCTCCCGGCCCCGCGCGGCGCGGTCCCGCCCACCCCGCCGCAGGGCCCCCATTGGCGGCCGCCGCGGGCCGAGGCGGCGGCGCCGCGCTCCGATTGGCTCGGGCGCCCGTCCGTCCCACACTCGCCATGGTGACCACGTTGGGTCCCGGGAGGGTTCCCCATTCCGCCCCCGCCCGCGCCCCCTCCCGTCCGGTCCCGGCCCGCAGCATTCCGAAGGCGGCTCTGCCCTCCCCCTCCGGGCCCCGCGGCCGCTCCGCACCCGACGTCCCGGGCCGGGGCGGTGGCGGGAGCCCGGGAGGGGGCCGGGAAGTTCTGCCCGGAGTTTGGGGTTGCTGCGGACGCTGCGCCCCTCTCCTCCAGCACGCCCCGCCTTAACCCCTTCCCTCCCGCGGAAGGTTCGCGGGCTGGGGAGTCCCCGGGACGCCGCGGCCCGCCGCCCCCGGCCCTGCCGCCCCCGCTCACCTCGGCCGCGGACCCGCGGGCTCCGGACGTCCGACCCGCCGCGGCTGGGCGGAGCGGGCACGGGGCTGGCTGCGGCCGCCGCCGGGAGGGCCGAGGGAGGGCCGCCGAGTCTCCTCCTCCCTCCCGGGGGGAGGGGAGGGCGGGGAGGGGGGAGGGGGAGACGGCGGGGCGGGGACCGGGGCGGTGGGCCCCGGCGAGCGGCGGCCGCCGTGTGACCTGGGCCCGCCGAGCTGCCGCGGTGGGGGCAGCGGCCGGGCTCGGGCCGGGCTCGGGCCGGGGCGGGGCGGGCCGGGGCGGCGGGCCCTGCTGGAGAGCGAGCGGGACCCGACGGAGGCCCGGCCCCGCCTGGAGGCCGGGTCTGGGGGCCTCGAGGGGTCCGGCCTCCCGCCTCGCGTTTCCGAGAGCCAGCGCCGCCCCAGGCGCCCTGCGGCAGGGGTGGGCGCCGCCGTCCTGCGGGGCGCGGGGCGCGGGCGCGGGGCGCGCCGGCCGAGTGTTCACTGTGTTACCTGCATTCCTCCGAGGAGCCGCGGAGCAGCAAGTCTCTGCCCTTCACCGGGCCTCAGTTTCCCCTTCGTGCCGCAAAACGGTTCATCGAAGTAACCTCCCGCGTGTGGGGAAGGCTGGTGGGCCCTTGGCCCGCGGGGCGGAGGCTTTCCCCGAGGTGCCGCTGAGCTCCGTGCCGGCGGCCGCAGGGCTGGCGGTCCCCAGGCGGTCCCCAGGCGGTCGCGGGAAGGCGCTCCAGTGCGCCCTGCGGCGGGCTTCCTCTGCCTTGGGAATGAGGTGGCTGCGGCTTGGGCAGGAGATGGGGTCGGACACCTTTCCACACCATATCCTGTACCTGGAAGGCGACTGCAAAGATTCCTCCCCCCCCGCCCCCACCCCCCTTTTTTTCTTTTCTTTTTTTTTTTTAATTAATTTATTTATTTATTTACGATAGTCATACAGAGAGAGAGAGAGAGAGGCAGAGACACAGGCAGAGGGAGAAGCAGGCTCCATGCACCGGGAGCCTGACGTGGGATTCGATCCCGGGTCTCCAGGATCGCGCCCTGGGCCAAAGGCAGGCGCCAAACCTCTGCGCCACCCAGGGATCCCTCTTTTCTTTTAAAGTAGGCTGCACACGCACTGTGAGATAAGAGTCTTCCTGCTCCACCAGCTGAGCCAGCCAGGCGCCCCTGCGGTGAATCCTTCTAAAAATACAACCCAGACTTCACAGAGATAGTGAGGGGGAACCAGAGCGTACTGGGACTTTGCCTTGAAAAGGAAACTGAAAGTGATGAAGAAAAATTAGCTTTAACTCATGATTAACACTGTTTAGATTGTGATCCCAACCATGCAGACATCAGAATGAAGAATCAGCTCTGTTACAGAAAGAGGGTTATTTTTGCAAGTATATTGGAGAGTTTTCACAGGGAAGGATCACACCTTTGGTAGTCAAGCAACTGTCTTTGAAGGACTGGTGGTGTCTCTTCCTTTGTGGTCAGCTAGGGCTTCATTGGTATAGTGTCACATCAACTTCATGAAACCCCACACTTTTTGCAAGATTTGCAGCTTCGCCTGTCAGTTCATTTGCTTCATGTTTGGATGGTTACCCGCTGATATTATTTGAGGGAGACAGATTTGGGTGAGGGTATGTCAGAGAGGGAACTACTCTAAATGTTGCAAAGCTGGTCTTTGCTTTCTGTGCAACCTTGGGCCTGTGAGGGTCAGATATTGAGTAGTCAGAGGATAGGACTCCCGGTTTGAAAGCTGAGGAAATGCTCAGGGGGGCTTTTGGTTGCTAAGGACAGCAATGGGCCAAGAGCCAGCCCCTGGTTCCTTCCCAGATGCTCTTTCTGGATGGAGGCAGTAGTAGGGATGGAGAAGGTTGAGGATGCTAAGTCAGTGGTGAACCTAAGCTCCAAGTAGAATTTCACAGTTAGGCCCTCTTTCTTAACAACGGAAGTAGTCCTAGGATTGTTCCTTGCAGCAGATGGTGAAATCCCAAGAGGTCATGGAACCAAGAGGTATACTGACCATGGGCTTGGCAGTTCATATGAATGATCTCAGCTTTAAGTCACCCCTACCCCACCATCTTATAGTGAGAAAAGTGAAAATCAAGTGACAGGCTTGGGGTCACAAAGCCAGAAGATCTGAGAGCCTACATCTGACTCAATCTTGCCATTGTCACCACTATTTCTAAAACCACTTGTCCCATGGGTGCCTGGGTGGCTCAGCAGTTTAGCGTCTGCCTTCAGCCCAGGGTGTGATCCTGGAGTCCTGGGATTGAGTCCCGTGTTGGGCTCCATGCATGGAGCCTGCTTCTCCCTCTGCCTGTGTCTCTGCCTGTGTCTCTGCCTCTCTCTGTGTGTCTCTCATGAATAAATAGATAAAATCTTTTAAAAAAAATCATAGAGACAGAGTAGAGTGGTGTGGCCAGGGACTGTCAGGAAGGGGTGTGTGCAAGGTTGCTACTGAGTGGGGATAGAGTTCCAATTTGGGAAGGTGGAAACGTTCTGGATAGTGGATGGTGGTGACGGCTGCATAGCAATGTGGATGTACTTAATGCCATGGAATTGCACGCTTAAAAAATTGTTAAAATGGTAGATTTTGTGTATATTTTGCCACAATAAAAATCATTAAAAGTCAGATATCTAGTTTTCTGTGTCCAATAAAAGGTCAAAAAATGAAAAAATAAGGATATGGGGCAATGGTAGAGAAGAGTTAGAGAAAATTTAGCCCTAAACGAAGGCTTCTCCTGGATGCAGCCAGGATTGAAAAACACTGAAAAGTAAATGACTTTTTTCATGGTGAGACTCAGTTTATGTATGTCCTGTTTGGGGGGGTCCCACTCACCGTCCTCTTGCAGATCACAGGGTGAGTAGCCCTATGGGGAGAGACACTTTGCTAGAGATGGTGTGTGGCTATCCCAGAGTGGGGAGCAGGAGGTGGCTTGCTGCCTCCCTTCCTGCCTGGGGGCGCTGAACAGGGACTAGCGTGCTTTAAAGCTGAAGCATCTGGAATGTTTTATAGGGGAGTTGGAGGCAGAGCAGCCTTCCAAGGGGAAGCACGACCAGAGCTGCCCCTGAGCCTTTGAAGGATGAAGAGTTGGGGTCCTGCCCAGTACATGTGTATGTTGTGGCTGGGACAGAGCAGGGAGATGGGTGTGAACACGGCAAGCTCATCCAGAACAGGGTGGACATAGAAGCTGGATGGGGCTAGACCATGAAGGCAATAGGAAGCCACTGCTGGCTTTTGAGCTGGGGAGTGTCTTGGCGGTGACTTCCAGGGTCTGGAGAACAGGGTAGAGTAAAACCAGCACTCCACCTGAGGCAGGGCATAGTGAGGCTGGCACAGATCCCAGGTGGAAAACAGGGGCTTCGGGGCGAGCGGGGCCTCCTGGGCCCCGAGAGCAGTTGCCTGGGTTAGCAAACAGCAAGAGGAGGAAGCCTACTGGTGTTGTAAATCTAGAGGTGGCTAGGAGGCCTCAGAAGGAAGGGCTTGGAGGTCATGATCTGGGTCATGGCCCCAGAAAACCAAAGTGCAGAGAGAGGCAAAGGCTTGCCCAAGTCATCCAGCTGGAGTGTAGCCGAGGGGTAGGTGTCCCTGCAAAGCCATTGCACTGCAGCTACAGTGGGAGGCCTGGGGACATGGGCCTGTGCTTCCCCAAAATCCCACTGCCTTCCGAGGTACAGCTCTCTTCCCCCTTCCCACAGAGGCCGGAGCTACCTGTGGGTTGTGGGTCGGTGCCCACAGGGCTGCAAGGTGGGGAGAGAGCAGAGAGACCCTGTTGGGGGCTGCCTGCTTTCTCCACTTTGCTGCCTCCCCCTCTCACCCTGGGGGTAGGAAAGTATGTTCCTAGGTTGGAATTTTCCCAGGGAGTCTGGCTGGGTGAGAGAGGGCACCCTGCTTCCCACTGAAGCACACGGCACGTCTCTTTCCCCTTGGGGTTCTGCAGAAGAAGTGGCTGGAGCAGGACAGGCTGACCAGCCTTCCAGCCACAGTCTGTCCACATCACATCTGAGCTCTGTTCCCAGGGAGGAAGGCCTTTCTTTCTTTCTTTTTTATTTTTCAAAGATTCTTATTTATTTATTTGAGAGAGAGAGCACAATGGGAGGGAGGAGCAGGCTGACATGGGGTTGATCCCAGGACCCCGGGATGATGACCTGAGATGAAGGCAGATGCTTAACCAACTGAGCCACCCAGGCGCCTGCAGTGAGGCCTTTCTACAGAGGGCTCTGCGCTGGGTAACTCTGGGCTAGGCTCTTGTCTTCTGCAGGCCTCAAACTCCCCATCTGTGAAATGGGCAGGCTTTATGGAGTGCTTCCGGTGACTTTGCAGCGTGACCTCTCATAAGCCTCACACTACCCTGAGGTGGTACTGTCTCATCTCCATTTGATTGATTTATTTATTTTCAAAGATCTAGTTTGTTTGTTTGTTTATTCAAAGATTTTATTTATTTGTTCATGAGAGACCCAGAGAGAGAGACAGAGGCAGAGAGAGAAGCAGGCTCCCTGTGGGGAGCCCAATGTGGGACTCGATCCCAGGACCCCGGGATCATGCCTTGAGCCGAAAGCAGATGCTTCACCAACTGAGTCCACCTTATCTCCATTTTAGAGGGGAAGCTGAGGTTCAGAGAGTTTTAGTCACTTGCCCAAAGTCCCCTGGCCAGTAGATGACAGGCCTGGTATTTGAGCCCAGGCAGTTGGACCCAGCCCTGGCCTGAGGTTGTGACCAACATCAGCCCCATTGATTGTCAGGTCAGGCCAGGATCATCTTCTCTTTTCTGAAGGTGGGGAAACTGAAGCCGAAGTGGTGGAGAGCAGAGTTCTGAAACCTTGTGGGGTGACTCGTGGGTCAGCCCTCCCTGCCCTCCCCACTGAGGCCAGCCACCTCTGCAAGGTGTAGCCATCCTCAGAAAGTGCTGCAGGCATAGGGCGGGGGTGGGGTGGGATGAGAGCAAGAGGGGCCCTGGGCCCAGCTGCCAGTTCAGAGGAAGCAAAAAGGCTGCTGACGGGGAAAGAAGAAGTGAAGTGAGAGCGTGTTGTGGCGTGCAGCTGCAGGGTGAAGAGAGCAGAGAGCAGGAGAGGGCGGAGGGCTGGGGCTGAGGGGCACAGAGAGGTGGCGCCAGCACACACATCCAACTTCCTTTTCTTCACGTAGACAGACCGGTGGCAGCAGTACAGCAGCAGGACGGCAGCGGCTCCACAGGTCAGCTGGCTCTCTTCCCCCCTCCTCTACCTCTCTGCCAGTTCCCCAGCAGGCATCAGGCATGTCACTGCCCTGGTGGGTCCAGGATCAGTGACATCCTGGGAGCAGCAAGCTGGGGACCCACCCTTATCCCCTTCACTCTCTGGTGGCTACTTCAAATCTCTGGGAATATGGAAGACTGCCTAACTATCTATCTACCTATCTATCTATCTATCTATCTATCTATCTATCTATCTATCATCTATCTATCTTTAAAATATTTTATTTATGTATTTGAGAGAGAGAGAGAACATGAGCAGGGGGAGAAGTGTGGAGGGAGAGGGAGAAGGAGAGGAAGAAGCAGACTCTCTGCTGAGCAGGGAACCTCCTGCAGGACCGTGGGATCATGACTTGAGCTGAAGGCAGATGCTTAACCTACCGAGCCACCCAGATGCCCTTCCAATTATTTATTTTTTAAAGAGCAATTTAAAATAAGTAGTGGTTAGGCCCTGGGTTTAACTCCTAGTTCCCCACGCTGGCCTAGGGCAAGTTATTAGACTTTTCTGGATGTCAGTGTCTTTATCTGTGAAATGGGGTTAGTCTGGTAACCTGTACCTCAGATGACGTGGGGAGGGCCTGCATGAAGTTTGTACTGGGCAGATGCAAGCAGGTGCCATTGCTCTCAGAATGACCTGGACTGGAGCCTGGGATGGTTTGTCTTAGGCTCTGGTGCTGGCTTGGTCACAGACTCCCTATTGGGTCTCCCTTCCCCTGCCTGTAAAATAGGGGTGAGAATGGTACTTTCCAGGGCTTTCCTGCAGAGACCAGGGATCCATTCCTCACCCAGGCCAGGGTGAGGCCAGCGGTGGGGGCTCCAGCCTGTGGTTGGCAGGAGTAGCTGCTTGGAAGGGGCAATGGGGCCATGTTCAGGAGTGTGACCAGCTCAGCAGGCCTGGTGCTGTTGGAGATGCGTGGGCAGCAGGGGGATGGGGTGCAGGGTCAGCCCCAGGGAGGAAGGCAGGGTTCCCAAGTCTTATGTTTAGATATATCTCTGGCTGGGGCTTTGGGTCAGAGCCCTGAATTTACAGTGAGGATTGTGGAAATATCTCTGAGTCTCTCTCCCTGGGAAATAGGTCTCCTTGGTCTCATTTAATGGATGAGAAACCCTGAATGAAGCACAGAGGAGTGGACTTATTGCCCAGTGTCACAGCCCAGGCAATGAATACTGCAACTGGTTATCAAATTTGCATCTACCAACGGCTCTGTGTGTTTCCTCATCTCTGTTTTGGCCTAGATAAGAGTTGTCTTCATCTGTAGAGCGACTCAGCTGCCCAACCATCTTTGGGAGGCAGCAGTCCCCTGCATGAGGAGGGCACTTGCCTTGGAGTCAGGAGCTCTGGGTTTGATCTCCTGCTTGATGACTGGCTTGCTGTAAGCCCAGGCAAACTCTTGTGTGGTTCCTAGCTTCCCCACAATCAACTGGAACCATCTTGGACATCAAGTAAGGGATTCTGTTTCCCAGGGAGCCCCAGATAATGAATCATAACGTGGATGGTGAGAGGGATGAGGATGTGGGGTGACAATACACGGTGGCCTCCGGAAGGGCTAGGGAGAGAGGTGCTGGAAGTCTCAAGCAGAAGTGAGGATTGTGGTTTGCCTCTGGGAAAGGGAGTGGAAACCGTAGCTATTTGGGGTACTTGGAGGAGGTGTTACTTCTGCTTTGGCCTTGATTACTTCAGCTGGTGGTGGGGTTAGACCTGTCTTCTCTCTGTAGACAGAGCAGGGTAGCCAAGGCCCTGGGGTCCTGGCCTTACGGTCCAGACCCTGGAGGTCAAATCCACATTATTGTCTGGGCCTCAGTTTCCCTATTCACACAGTGAGGGGGAGGACTGCTCAAGGTAACACAGCTTAATAAATAACCAAGTGGCCAAATGAGTAAGAACCCAGCACTCCATGATTCCAACCAAAATCTCTATTCCCTTTTCTTTCTTTCTCTCTCTCTCTTTCTTTCGAAAATATTTTACTTATTTATTCATCACACACACACACACACACACACACACACACACACACACACAGAGGCAGAGACACAGGCAGAAGGAGAAGCAGGCTCCATGCAGGGAGCCCAACATGGGGCTCGATCCTGGGACTCCAGGATTGCGCCCTGGCCTGAAGGTAGCGCTAAACCGCTGAGCCACCAGGGCTGCCCTCTTTTTTTTTTTGTTTAAAGATTTATTTACATGTTTGAGAGAGAGAGAATCTCAAACAGACTCCCCACTGAGTGTGGAGCCTGACTCAATCCCACAATCCTGAGATCATGACCTGGGCCAAAACCAAGTGTTGAATGCTTAACCAACTGAGCCACCCAGGCGCCCTTCTATTCTCTTTTCAAATAAACACATATATTAATAAATAGTGTTAAAACAAATGGTTGGGACCACCCAGAAAAAAAAATCTCATCCCCATCTCATGCTGTACTCCAGGTCGATGCAAATAGACAAGGGGTCCCAAATGTGAATAATGAAACCTCAAAAGTACTACGAGAAACTTAGGAGAAATCCTTCATAATTGGAAGGCCTTTTTAAGGCTATGACTCAAAGTCCAGAAGCCAAAAGAGAAAAATACTGATAATTCTGGTTACACAAAAATTATGCATATAAAAAAGGACTTCTACATGGCAAAAGTACCAGATGTAATGTTAAAAGGCAAAAGATAAACCAGGAAACAGATTTGCAATTCACATAATAGACAACGAGCTGATTTCCCTATTATGGAAAGAATTTCGAGAAGATAAGGAAGAATCAGGCATTAAAAAAAAGGGCAGACCGTGAACTTGCACATTTAGGAAATAACATCAGAACAGCTGTACTGTTATAAAGAACCAAAGACCAGAGCCCACACCACCAACAGTTCTGAGGCACCTGCTGAATAAGCTAGGGCTTATCCCTCCAACGGTAGACTATGCAGTTGTAAAAGAAAAAGGGGAAGCTCCAGGTACTGTTAGGAAAAGCTCTCCAAGGACAGCCCGGGTGGCTCAGCGGTTTAGCGCCGCCTTCAGTCCAGGGCGTGATCCTGGAGGCCCGGGACTGAGTCCCACGTTGGGCTCCCTGCAGGGAGCCTGCTTCTCCCTCTGCCTGTGTCTCTGCCTTTCTCTGTGTCTCTCATGAATAAATAAATAAAATCTTAAAAAGAAAAAGAAAAGCTCTCCAAGATGTATTTTCAAGCGAAAAAACGAATTGCAGAACAGTAGAGAGGGTGCTATATATTTTTTTTTTTTAATAAAATGAGGAGAGGAATGCCTGGTAGGCTCAGTGGTTGGGTGTCTGCCTTTGGCTCAGGGCATGGTCTTGGGGTCCTGGGATGGAGTCCCACATCAGCTTTCTGCAGGGAGCCTGCTTCTCCCTCTGCCTGTGTCTTTGCCTCTCTCATGAATAAATAAATAAATAATCATTTTAAATAATTAAAAAATAAAATAAGATGAGGAAAGTCATATATGCTTTACTTCTTTGATACTTGGGAAAATTCACAAAACACTAATAGCTGTAGTTACCTGGGGTGACTAGCTGGGAAGGGAGTGGTTGGGTGACACAGGAGGGAGGGATACTTTGCGATTTTTATGCCTTTGTGGACTTATTTATTGTTTAGATTTGAAAGTTGTAAAATTTTAAACTATCTGAAGAGTAGGGGCCCCTGGGTGGCTCAGTTGGTCAAGCATCTGATTCTTGATCCTAGCTCAGTCTTGATGTCAGGGCTGTGAATTCAAGTCCTGTGCTGGGCTCCATGTTGGGCCTGGAGCCTACTTAAGAAACAAAAACCACTATGAGAAGAGTAAATAAAAATTGAGAAGCATATAACTATAATATATGGGGTAATATTAGGAAATAAGGCACCTAAAACAAGTAGGCCCAGAATCTCACCACCCAGAAGTGACCTCCGCATATTTCAGATCTTGCATATATGAGAAATGTGACTATTGCGAGGATTGGATTACATTGCTTTGCAACATGTTTTTTTTTGTTTTTTCATAAAAAATATGCCACTACTATTTTTTTCCATAATGCTAGTCATTTGGAACATTAAAAAAATTCTAAGCATTAAAAACTTGTTTTCAAAAAAAAAACCAAAAACTTGTTTTCAATTACCTTGTGAAGGTAATACGTGTTTGTGGTAGAAAATTCAAACTGTGGGGTGCCTAGATGACTCAGCTGATTAAGCAATTAAATGTCTGTCTTCAGCTCAGGTCATGATCGCAGGGTCCTGGGATCAAGCCCCACATCGAGCTCCCTGCACAGTGGGGATCCTGTTTCTCCCTCCCCCTCTGTTGCTCCCCCTACTTGTGCTCTCTCTTTCTCAAATAAATAAATAAAATCTTTAAAAAAATTTCGAACTATATGGAAAACCTAAAAAAGAAAGTAATCCTTCTCCACGTAACCTTATCAACATTTTGGCAACCATTCTTCCAGATACCCTCCTAGCCTTCAACACGTATATCAGCATAAATTTCCGTACATGTGATTATATTCTGTGTGTTATGTTCAACTTGTGCTTTCTGTGCAATGGATATACTTTGCTCCCTTTTATGTTACTATCTGTGTTGTAATTTTTGATAGTGAAATGGTAATCTATTGGACTGTACTTTGAACTTTTACTTTTGAAAACAATGATAAATTCACAGGAGGTTAAAAAAACAGTACACAAAGATTTTGTGTACACTTCACCCATTTTTTTTAAAGAGTTTATTCATTTATTTGTGAGAATAGGCAGAGACACAGGCAGAGGGAGAAGCAGGCTCCATGCAGGGAGCCCAATGCAGGACTTGATCCTAGAACCTCGGGATCACGCCCTGAGCCAAAGGCAGATGCTCAACCACTGAGCCATCCAGGCGTCCCCACTTCACCCAATTAATCTGGAGCGTCTCCTCCTTCTCCTATTATTTGATGAGGCCTCCATCCTGGAAGCTTCTTTTTTTCCACTGCTTTCTGGACAGGATATACCCTGGTCCTGCTGTCCAGCCAACAACTGGGGGGAGTAGCGCTAAGGCACAACTGCTTATCAGGGCTGATGACTGGTAAAGCTTTAACCTAAGTTTAGTCCTGGCCATTTCATTAAGGAATACCAAGACATCCATAGCTAGAGGCTACCTTTTATTTATTTATTCATTCATTCATTCATTCATTCATTCAGAGAGAGAGGCAGAGGGAGAAGCAGGCTCCATGCAGGGAGTCCGATGCAGGACTGGATCCCAGGTCTCTAGGATCACACCCCAGGCTGCAGGCGGCGCCAAACTGCTGCAGCACCGGGGCTGCCCTAGAGGATACCTTTCTTGGAACAGCCAGTTCTTTAGAGAAGAATTTTCTGCTGCCATAGAGCATCATCCCCTGGCTGCCATAGGCTTCGGGAAGCTGACTGGAGGTGAAGTGGGGAAGGGGTATGGCTTCATTTTTCTAAGCCTGGATGGCATCCCATCCTTCCCCTCGGATTCTCTATCAGGCACTGTCTCCAGGGAATGACCTTTATGTTGGGGTGGGGTGGAGGGTGGAAGGGTGGTGACAGTGGTCTCCAGGTGGCAGAGGGGATCTGGGGCCTCAGCTGGTCATTTTAAAGACTCATGACCAGGGCGCCTGGGTAGTTTGGTTGGTTAAGCGTTGTACTCTTGATTTCAGCTCAGCTCATGATCTCAAGTTCATGGGATCGAGTCCCGAGCTGAACTCTTCATTGAGCTTGGAGACTGCTTGGGATTCTCTCTCTCTCTGTTTCCCTCTGCCCCTGCCTCCTGCCCCTAACTTACACATGTGCACGCGTGCTCTCTCTCTCTTAAAAAAAAAAACAAAACTCACAACCATCCATCCCTCATTTTTGGGTTTCACTCCTTGCCCTGCTTTCAGAGGTTCTCGATGCTTCTAGTTCTCAAGTGTTCTCTGGGGTTGTGAGGCTTCTCCCCATCCCTTTCCCTCCTCCCCTCACACCACACCTCTCCCCACCATGTAGGCACTTGGTCTCAACTTTTTATGGTCTGCTAAGTTTATTACCATGTGCCCACCTGCTTTGGAGCTTCCAGAGTTGTGCTTGCTGTTGTCTTCTTTGCCTTTGTTCTGTCTTTGTGCCCATTTTATTCACCCATTCTCATTTTAGTGGAGTTTCAGGATGTTGACATAATTTTGCTGTGTTTAAACAGAAGTTTATTCATTTATTTCAAAACCACAGAAAATGAAGGCTGGGAGGGACAGACCCTTGCTCAAAGTCACATGGTGAATTAATGACAGAACTGCACAGGGTTCCATGGTGCTTGCTCCCAAGCAGGTTCCCCTGCTGGGTAGAGTCAGGGCTGTGGAGAAACCCCCAGAGAGGCCATTTTGGGGGAGCGGGGGTGACTCAGGCAGAGCTGCTAATGACAGTCATTTCTGAACAAAGGGTCAGGGATTCTGGAGTCACAGAGACCTGGCTCAGGGAGCCTCAGGCAGAGCAAGACCACTTGTGCTCTGAAGCTCAGTTTCCCCATCTGTGAAATGCAGAAGTAACAAGGATCAATTAAGACATTAGCTGTCAGGGACACCCGGTGGCTCAGTGGTTGAGCGTCTGCCTTCAGCTCAGGGCGTGATCCCGGGGTCCTGGGATTGAGTCCCACATCAGGCTCCCCACAGGGAACCTCCTTCTCCTTCTGCCTCTGTCTCTCTCTTTGTGTCTCTCATGAATAAATAAATAAAATCTTAAATTAAAAAAAGATGCTAAAAAAAAAAAGATGCTAGATGTCCTACCCTTGGGACATGCCAGACACCTAGAAGTTAGAGATCATTGTCAAAGATGACAAAGGCATGCATATTTTCTAGGGTGGGAGCTGGTTCTTGGAAGAGACGAGGTCCAGGACATGGATCCCTGGGGGGTCTTTTTCCTCTGTTTATGCTTCATGACTGCTCAGAGTGAGACCGTGGGTAAGAAGGTGCCGCTGAGCTGGGGAGCCATCCTTGCCCGGGCCCCTGGATGTGATGTGAAAGGGGGATACGTCAAACCAAGGGAGCTTGAAAGGGGGCCCTGAGGCATTCTGGGGCAGCAGCAAGGCCAAGGCTGGGGTGGGAGGCCCAGGGATGGAGGCCAAAGTGGAAGTCTGACCTGCTCCCTGCAGAGGCATCCCAAGAACCCCTGCACTGGATGAAGAAGCTGGAGAGGATGGTCAGGAACCACAGCTCAATTTCTCTTGTTGGGTGAGTTGGGCGGTCCTCCTTGTCTGCCTAGAGTCAGCTGTGCCTCCCACACCGAGCTTGTGCCTTGAATCAGTGGTCCAGGGTTGTACAGTCCAGGGTAGTCCAGGGTAGACCATTAATCCATCTATTCAACCTGCATTTATTGAGTACCTACAGTGTGCCTGGCACCAGGCTCTAGAGATGCAGGATAAACATAGCCCTGCCCTCATCAAATCTGCTGCCTGGTTGAGGGCCCTTTAACTACGGATGCCATGCAACTAGATGTGGGATTCTGGGTCTCTACATAGTTCTGGAAAGGAGCTCCAAGACTCAGATTGGGTCCTCCAGGGTGGCTCTGTGATCTGATGGCCTCGCAGCTCCGAATGAGTGGCCAGGGAAGCACAGGGACTATGGGGCATTTCACTCAGCCGGCAGAGAACACCCAAAAAAGGCTTCCCGAAGGAGGTGCCAACAAGCCTGGACCAGAATGTGAGGTAATGAGGAGATGCGAATGAGGCCGGTGGAGAGGTGAGATGTGCCAGGGACACTGTGTGCAAAGGTCTGGAGACCGGAGTGGCCCATGCTGGTGGGGCGGGGGGGGGGGGGTGGCGCCCTTCTCAGCCACCTGGGGCCCCTCCTGCCCCAAGCCCTACCACAAACCCTGGTCAACTCTCTCGCCCTCAGCCTCATCCGGGGCCTGGAGTGCAGCCTGTTGAACGCCAGCTTTGGGGGCAGCAACCTGACCTTGCAGACGCCCAACATCCAGTCGCTGATCTTCAAGCTGGGCTGCAACTTTGCCGGCCTCTCGCTGAACAGCACTACCATGAAGTGGGTCCCCCAGGTCAGAGGTGGTCAGGGGATGGGGCCCAGCCAATGCTTCTCCCCCCACAAAAAAATCGTCCAAGGCCTTAAGGTCTGGACTCCCCGTCCTCCTTCCCCGAAACTAATCTGGTCTGCCCTCATAGCCTGGTAAGTTGCCTCCTCTGTAAAATGGGGCTAATGTTCCTCATGCAAATGATGGATAAAGGGGGTACCCTGTGGCCCCTCAAGGGCAGTGTCCTCTTCCTGCTTTTGCAGGTCTGTGGGTGGGGAGGCAGCTGTAGGAGAGGCCAGGGGATCCAGCGTCCTTGGAATGCCTGGGTGCTGAAGGCCGAGAAGCTCCATCCCCAGGGGCCCCAGCTGGGTGGGAATAATTCAAGGCAGGGGCAGCCTGGAGGGAGGGCTGGGATCTCGGCCAGTTTGAGAGGAGGTGCAGCCTGCGAGGAGAGAGCTCTGCAGGTGGAGGCTTGGAGGAATGACACTCCTGGGATAAGGCCGGGAAGGCTTCACAAGGACAGAGGAGCAGTGAAAGCACTGGGGCCGGCTCTGGAGGCAGAGGACACCGGGCTCAGCCTGTCCTTGCCCTCCACAGGCCTGGGTCCCCCACGCCATGCAGTTCCCCGCGGAGCTGACCCAGGACGCCTGTAGGACCCGCCCCAGGGAGCTGCGGCTCATCTGCATCTACTTCTTCACAGACCACTTTTTCCAGGTCAGTGCCTTGCGGGGCCCCTTCCTGGGGGCGCTGTGGGCATCCGTGCCCTTGGCTAGCCTCTGGGCAGGGACCAGCACCAGGTGGGACCGTCCATGGCCCCTTCTCAGTTTTAGGAAAATCGTGGGAAGGCCCACTTAGAAGAAACCTATGTGTGTGCTGTAACTGAGTGGGAGGTAGACAAAGGTGCCTTTTAACTTTGGCTCTGAAAGTGAGTTAGGACAGTGGTTGGTTAGGCTGATCTAGAATGTACTCAGCACTTGGCAGAGAGGTGAGGGATGGAGGGGGCAGCATGTGTGAAGGCTGGGAGGCTGGCCCACGCTGGACATGTGAGGCACGCCTGCTTGCTCTCGTCCGGGGGAAGGGCTGGTGAAGGGGGCTCTTAGCCCTCAGCCGGGGTCTCCCTGTGTCCCCTGCAGTCAGCCCTTCTCTTGCTGTCCTTCCAGAACATCAACTCATCTCTGCTCAATAACTACGTCCTGGGGGCCCAGCTGGGGCATGGACATGTGAACAACCTCAGAGACCCGGTCAACATCAGCTTTTGGCACAATCGGAGCCTGGTACTTGTGGGGGGCACCCCCCGTTTCCACCTCACCCCTGCCCCTTGTGGCTTGCTCCTGTTGAACATTGGCTTGACTAAACTCAAATCTGTGGAAGCATTTTGAAAATGAACGATTTCGAACCTATCACAGTTTGAAAACTCCTGTCAAAGAAGTCAGAGAGAGAAGGTTTTACTTAGGCAGGATTTGCTTTTTCATTTTAAGTAGGTGCCACACCCAGTGTGGAGCCCAACATGGGACTTGAGCTCAGGACCCTGAGATGGAGACCTGAGATGGGGAGTCAGGAGCTTAACCAACTGAGCCACCCAGGGGGGCCCCCAGGCAGGTCTCCAGGAATTGCAAGGGATATGAAGCCAAGTCAAGCCAGCTTAAGCACAAAAAGGAATTGAGCGGCTCATGTAAATGAAATGCCCAGAGCTGTCTGGCTTCAGGCATGACTGGATCCAGGGGCTGATACAATGCCATCCTGGCTCGGCCTCTTGTTATCTCTCAGCAGTGGTTTCCTGCCTTGGCTCTCTGCTCTGGCCAGATGGCAGCTTACGTGCTGGACTTCCCTCCCCTCTTCCCAGCAGGCTCTTCCTCATCAGTGCAAACCAGGGGCTCAGAATAGAGTCCTAAATGTCTGACTGGGTCATGTGTCTATCCCTGAACCAAGTTGATGGAACGTGTGGATTGGCCAGGCCTGAGTCACGTGGCTGGATTCATCTGACCTGGCATGGGGGGAGGCATGGGTCCTCGAGGGAGGTGCAGAAGCTGATCCTGGAGAAAGGGAGAAGGGCTGATGGGTGGGTGTAAGCTTTGATGCCTCTGCCCTTCTGGCCCTGGCATTTCTGAAAAGCCCAGAGCCTCTAGGCTCTTCCCTGACTTCCCATCAGCCTCCTCAGGACTGCTCCGCACTCTCAATTTATCCATCATCCTTTCCTTTCTTTGCTCTGCCCTCTGCCCCTGCAGTTTGCTTCCCCTGGAATCTGCTGTGTCCTGTAACCTCCGTGCTCTGGGTGTCCCTTCCCTCCCTGGGACTTCTCTGCCCCTTCCTCAGTGGTTTTCTTTTTTCTTTTAAGATTTTATTTATTTATTCATAAAAGACACAGAGAGAGAGAGGCAGAGACACAGAGGGAGAAGCAGGCTCCCTGTGGGGAGCCCAGTGTGGGACTGGATCCCAAGACCCCGGGATCACACCCTGAACCAAAGGCAGAGGCTCAACCACTGAACCACCCAGGTGTCCGCCTCAGTGGTTTTCCATGGCGCTGCCTGTGTGATTCCTCCCATCCCTCCATCCACAAGACTTGGCATCAGGGTTGTCTGTGGATGAGTGTCCCTCCTGGGGGATATGGGTCTGCACCATCGTTGTTCCCCATGAGGAGGAGGGGAAAGGGGACACTTGATTATAGAGCACCTACTGTCCAGCCAGAGCTGGACATTCAAGATCTCTCGGTGCCTGGAATTTAATAGCATCCTTGGGACTTGGGTATAGATGATTCCACTTTGCAGATGAATAAGCTGAGGCTCAGAGAAGCTCGGTCCCTTGCCCGGGTCGCTCTGAGAGTCCATAGTATGGGCAAGGCTGGAATCTGGATCTGTCTGATGCCAAAGCCCAGCCAGTGCCTGGTAAAATGTTGACAAGGGTGCAATTTCCAGACTCTGACCCGCAGCCCTCCCCCACACCCCTTTGGATGCACCCAACTCCAGCCTCTCCCCTTAGGAAGGCTACACAGCGACCTGTGTCTTCTGGAAGGAAGGAGCCAGCAAGGATTACTGGGGGGCCTGGAGTTCTGAGGGCTGTCGCACAGAGCAGCCCTCACCTTCCCAGGTGCTCTGCCGCTGCAATCACCTCAGCTACTTTGCTGTTCTCATGGTACGTGTGCATCCAGTCTGGGTGAGGGGAGTCAAAGCTAGAAAGGGCCCCATGTCTAGGCAAGAGGAGCATCCAAAGCAAAGGCTGGTGTAGGGGACAGAAAATACAACCCAAATGGGCTTAAGGAGAGGAAAAGAGAAACTTATGAACTCATGTTGCTGAAGAAGCTATGTTAGGCTTCAGGCATGGCTTGATCCAGATGCTCAATATCACCAAGACAGGGCTCTGTCTCTATCTCCCAACTGTGCTTGCTTTGTGCTGGCCTAGCCTTCAGACAGGATTTCCCTACAGGATAATAATATGGCTGCTAGCAAATCCAGGCTCATATCCTGCCAGCTTTTAGGCCAGTAGAAGGGGAGCTTCTCTTACCCAATTCAGCCAGCTAGTCTTGGGATGGAGTCCCACTGCTTGGGAGTGTGTCACATTCCCACCCCTCGACCAATCACTGGGCAGGAGAAGGAAGGGCTCTGATAAGTCAGGCCTGGTACACCTGTTCAACACCTGTTCACACATGGTGGGATTGCCCATGTGCATAGACAGTGAGAGAGGGAAGCTTCTCATAGAGAAAGGAGAGATGGGAGTTGAGGGGGGCAAAAGCCACTGTGTCCGCCGGGCTTTTTTTTCTTTTTTTTTCTTTTCAAGCCAAGACCATGGTGGGGTTTGTGTGGGGCAGGGGTGTTTGGAGCTGAGGTCTTAGCAGGTCCCTGTCACCGTGGGTAAGGCATTTCCATGCTTTTGTCCCCCATCTCTCCTTTCCTTCCTGCAGCAACTCTCTCCAGCTCCGATTCCTGAAGAGCTGCTGGCCCCTCTCACGTACATCTCCCTGGTGGGCTGCAGCATCTCCATGGTGGCCTCACTACTCACTCTGCTGCTGCACTTCCAAGCCAGGTATTCCCCTGCCCCCGTGCTGGGCCTGCCTACCCACTGCTGCTCAGCACCCCTCCTTCTTATCTAATTGATCCCCCAGAGTGGGGTGGGTTTCTCCAGGGGGTGGAGACTGGTAGGCAGGAGAGCAGCCGTGCTGTGGTGGCTGCTGGTTGATCTCCATCCCCACCCCAGCCTCAGTGTACCCATTATTATGTGTCCATGAGCCCTGGGTGGTGGCACTGCTTGTGATGTCTCCAGGCCATGGAAGGCCATGCTTCCACCCGCAGGCAGCAGGGTGACTCCATAACACGTATCCACATGAACCTGCATGCCTCTGTGCTGCTCCTCAATGTGACCTTCCTGCTGAGTCCTTCGCTGGCTCTGCCCTCCACGTCCGAGACGGCGGCGTGCAAAGCACTGGCTGCCATCATGCACTTTGCGCTGCTCAGCTGCCTCACCTGGATGGCCATTGAAGGCTTCAACCTCTACCTCCTCCTTGGGCGTGTCTACAACATCTACATCCACCGATACTTGCTCAAGCTTTGCGCGGTGGGCTGGGGTAAGCAGAGCCTCCCTTCCCTCCTGCGGTCTGAGGTGTCCAGCCAGACAGGGCGTCTACCCACTCTCGGCCTTCTCTTTCTCCTCTTCCTCATCGTAGTGGCCACTGCCATGAGAGCTGCCCGTCATCCCTGTCAGTGCTCACCACTACTTTCTGCACCTCTATTCTTGTCGCCCATTCTACCTCCAACACCTCATCTCCTCCATCTCCAGCACCTCCATCACCATCACTTCCAACACTTCCACCATCACCTCGTCTACCTCCAACACCACCATCGCCTCTACTGTCATCTCCACAGGAACTCCAACACCATCATCAATGCCATCACTACCTCCAACTTCTACCTCCAACTCCACCATCACCATCACCACCACCTCCATCATCACCACCATCCTCATCTTCACCACAATCTCTGCACCACCTTCATGGGTACCTCTATCACCATCCTAGCCCCTCTTTATTATCTTGGTTTCCTCATGAATTTCTCTAATCTCTGTCCCATTAGCTCCATCTCCCCACTGCTACTGCCACTACCATCCCACCCTAGAGCCCTCATAACGCCACCTTGGAAAGCAGCCTCCTCTAAGACCTCCAGGTTAAGTGCTCTGAAGTTGGACTGTATGGCAGGGGCTGGGGCTCAGAACCATCCCTTCCCCTCCCTGCCTGCTCAGTGGAATTCTGTTTTAATGGCCCTGGGGACCCAGGACCAGCCCTTCTCTGGGGTCACCTGACAGATCCCAAACCTCTGTCTCACCTCTCAGGGGTCCCGGCCCTCCTGGTGCTGCTCCTTCTTGTCACTCAGCACTCAGTGTATGGACCTCACACAATTCCACTCTCCAACAGCCAGGGAAATGACACAGCCTTCCGGAACGTATCCATGTGAGTGCCCTCAGGGCTGTGGCAGGCTCCCTGTCTCTGGCAGGAGGGCCCAGGGGCTCTGAACACGGTGTCCTATAGGCAGGGCACTGGCTGTGGGGCAAGGAGGGGGCTGTGGCTCAGGGAGGGGTGGCTTCCTATGGGCTTTGCTATACCTCCTCTGCTGGATCCCCAAGGCCTCCTGCGGAGGCAGGCTCTTGTTCAAAGCTGGCTACCCCTAGGGAGCCCTGGCATGAACTCTGGTGCCTGCTCATGGGCCTCCGGCTCCTGGCAGAGCTCAGACCCTGCTCAGTGAGCTCGGCCCCCACCTTGCTCTTGCTTAGGCTCCTGCTCCTCCTACCCATGCCTGATGGCACAGCTAGCCCTCAGACCCTCCTAGTCAGAGAGAGTGCTGTGGGGGCTGGGACATCCCAGGGACAGGGCTTGGCCCAGGTGTCTGTGTTGGGAGGGTGCTGGTGGGACCTGGGGACAGACTCTGCTGCCCCTTCCTGTGCCCTAAGACATTTACCTTTTTCTTGTTACGAAGTTTTTCACAGCCAACATAGAGAGTAGCTTAACAAGCCCCGTAGACCCATCTTCAGTGGTTGGCCCCGGCCTTCTTTCTTCCCTGGCAAGCTCCAGACTGGCTGAGGGCTGACTCCCTGGCAGGCCTTGTGTGTGACCCTGTTTAAACATCACAGCGAAGAGTAGGGCCTATTGTCAGCCTCTTTTTACAGTTAGGGAAACTGAGGCATAGGCAGCTGAAGAACCCCGCCCAAGGAAACCCAGGTGGTCAATGGCAGAGCGGGACTTCGCCACGGGCCAGCTGGCTCCAGAGCCTGGCCCCCCCACCATCCCTCCCAGCTTCTGGGAAATGAGGGCTCTGGGCATGGAGTGGAAGCGGGTTGGGGTTCATTCCTATCTGTGAGGGTCAGGCTGCTTTCTCAGAGGCTGTGTGACTTAGGTAGGGCTCCTTAACCATCTAGTTTTATCTATTATGTGTTGGGGACCAGAGTACTGAAGTGGCGCAGGAAGCACACTGTCGCCAGGCTGTCACAGCATACCCCACTCTAAGAACCCAATTCTCTGAGTCCCCCTTCCTTCCCCCCTCCTTCTCATCCTGGATACCGTGACTTTTATTCTCCTGCATTCAAAAACCCCTTACTGCATCTATATATGCTCCTGAACCCAGATGGCAGTAACCATACCCTTGAAAGTGACTCCAGTGCCCACCAGCAGGACACCGGTTTATAAGTTGTGATAGAGCCACCCCTGCTGGACAGTTAGGCAGCAGTGGAAAGGAACCATCCAGACCACACAGGAGATTATGGGCCCTTGAAAAAATCCCCCAAATAATGTTCAAGGCCCCTTGTGGCTGCCACAGGAGGAGCCCATAGCGGGGGCCAGAGCAGGTGTCTATGACAGGGGCACAGGTTCTGGGCTCAGAGCAGGGGGCTTCAGGTCCCACCTTTGCCTCTTACTAGTGTGTGTTTCTAAGCCTGAGCCTCAGTTTCCTCCTCTGGAGGTCAGGGATGACTATGCACCTGCCTCATAGGGTCATCATGAGGACTGAATGGGCTCATCCGCAGAAAGCCTGTGACACGGTGTCTGACTAGGTAAAGAGTCACCACCTGTCTTGCAGGTGTCCTGGGGAAGCAAAGGGTGTGAAGACCTCAGGGAGGCTCTAGGAGCAGGGCTGGGGCCCCTGCCAGGCCTCTGCTCTTTTCTCAGCCCTTGGTAGCGTCTCCCTGCTGCCCACTCTCCTCCTCGTCCCCATGGGGGGAGTGGCCCTCCACCAGGCCACCCTGAGGTGCCACAGCTTATGGCTCAGAGCGGGGCACATCTGCCCCGTCTAGGTGGGGAGGGGTCCTGGAGCAGGGGGCCCGTTGCACAGAGATGGTGGTGAGATGGCGTTGACCTCGTGGTGGGTGGGTAGAGAAGTTTCCAGGAAAGAGGGCCCTGGGCCAGTGATTTGCTAGAGTATCATACAAATTGGCAGCGGGACTGTCCATGGAAGGGGACGGAAATAGGATGGAGAAGGGAGGGGAGGAAGAGCTTTCTGGTGGGGAAAGGCATGGAGTCATGAGAGAGCCCCGTGTGCCTGGAAGAGGGGGCATCGGGCAGGGGGCCAATGTGGCAGGTGGGCCAGGAAGCCAGGCCCAGAGCTCCACGGCACCTGTGGTCAGACAGGAACCAGCGGGTCTGGACAGGAAGACAAAACCCCATCCAGGGGCCAGAGACTGCCCTCCTCCCCCGGTGCCCCCACCCCGGCCTTGGGATCACGCCCACCCTGGCGCTTCCCCTTCCAACGCAGATGCTGGGTGCGGGACCCCTGGGTGCACAACATCTTGGTCATGGGCTACGGTGGCCTCACGTCTGTTTTCAACCTGGTGGTGCTGGTCTGGGCGCTGCGGCTGCTGCACCAGCTGCGGGCCCGGGAGGAGGTGCAGAGCCCCCGCGCCTGCCGGGACAGCGTCACTGTGCTGGGTCTCACTGTGCTGCTGGGCACCACCTGGGCCCTGGCTTTCTTCTCCTTCGGTGTCTTCCTGTTGCCCCAGCTCTTCCTCTTCACCACCTTCAACTCGCTCTACGGTAAGAAGGCCCGTGGGCAGCGTGGAGGAAGCCCCGGGGGTGGTGCCCCCCACATGTTGACTGCTCCAGGGGGCAAGTCAGGGGCTGAAATCGAGCCCCTTGCCTCAAGCCCATCGCCTCGAGCTGGTTTGGGGCTCCTCCTGTCTTTCCTCCTAATTTGCACAAAAGCACCCTCTGGCCTACCTACCTCTGGTCCTCCAGCCTCTGCCCCTTCTAGCTTCCACAGTGGTGGTGGTGGGGTCTCTGAGAATTACTCCTGGGCTTTGGGGAAACCCAACTCCCCCACACTGAGGAGGTCCCTGAATTCTGGGTGAGGCCCCACATTGCTGCTTCCAGCTTCCTGCTGACTCCTTTCTGCCTTCCAGGTTTCTTCCTCTTCCTGTGGTTTTGCTCCCAGAGGTACCACACAGAGGCGGAGGCCGAGGCTGAGATGGAGGCGTTCAGCTCCTCCCAGACCATGAAGTAGTCTGGGGCTCCTTGCCCAGAACCCCTGGCCTCTCTGGCTACCTGCAGCCCAGGACTCTGGCCTCTACCAGAAAAGGTGGCAGGCAAGGCTGCTGGATGGCAGAGCCCTCCCTGGCCTCCAGGGAGACTTTTCAGCCTCCATGGCTTCCCCAGGCCCAGAGGTCAGGGCATTGCCCTGCCTCCACTGGCGTTCTGCTCCAGGACAGGTCCAACCCCACTGGGGGCCAGGAAACATTGCCCTGGTGCCTGGGCCCGGTTAGCCCTGGTTAGGCTTGTGGGCAGAGGCTGGCCTGGGAGTTAGGAGCCCATACTGCAAGGCTGGGCTCTGAGTCTTACAGTACGACCTTGGGCCTGTCATCCTCACTGACTGGTTTCCACATGAGGACATGGGGCTGACAGCTCCGGTCCTGCCTTACCCGAGAGCTTTGTGAAGACTGAATAAGACCAGGGAGAAAGAATGTCTTTGTGGATACTGTTACCTCCAACTGCCTGCTGGGGGTGTCGGGGGAGGGGCGGGTAGGGGTTTCTGCCCATCTCCCCTGGAAGTTCCTGCTGGGCCCCATCTCCTTCCTTCTGGGGAGGGTCAGACCACATCCTGGCCTGGGGCTCCAGCCCAGAGCTTTGAGTCCCACCCAGTGTCAGAGACCTCACCCACCTATGCCTGAGGCCTTTCTCCCTTTAGCCCCCCCAAATTTTGATGGCCTCCAAATCCAAGCCCATCCTTCTTAAAGATCAGGAAGGCCTTCCCAGAGGCGCCTCCCCCAGTGGTCCCAAGACCCCCATGGACCATGTAGACCAGCATTGGGCTATCGGGCTTCCTGGGGACAGGAGGAAAGGAGCCCCTTTTCCCTCCACCTGAGCCAGCCGGGCCCGGGACCTGGCCATTTGATAACTGGGCAGGTTTGAATTTCCCCTGGTCGGGAAGGTATGGAGTCTAAACCCAAGCTCAGGCTGTAGCTGTAGAGAATCCCCTGGCTCCTGACCTGCCTGCCAGACCAGAGGGAGCGGGCTCCCGAAGCCAGCTGCATTCTCAGGCCGCACACCAGGGAGAGCTGTTGGGCCGTGCTCAGAAGCCTTCGGCTCACAAATCCTGCCTGGAAATATCGTCGCTGTTCTGCGGACATGACAAACCAGAAGGAGAGGCCCTGCTTCCAGGACTGCTCCTGCTGCGTGATTGAAGGAAGAATTCTCACACTGTTCACACAGCCCTTTCTTTTCCTGGTGCAGCTGCCCGCTCTGGCTCGTGGGGGCTTGGGCATATCTGGCCCCGGAGCTGCGGGCTGGGGTAGGCTCTCAGGGCCCCGCTCCAGGCCACCAGATGGGTGACATTGACTTTGGATGGCATGGTGAGGGAACTGGAGCTGGATCCCTTTTCTCCCAGGGAGAACCTCTGCCCCGTGTTCATTTCTTGATGCAAATAGCCCTTTGCCAGGCAGTGAGGGCTGCAGGCTCTGGAGCCAGACTGCCTGAGTTCCAATGGCCCTGCCACTTGCTAGCTTGGTGACTGGGACAAGCCACTCAAGCTCTCTGTGCCTTAGTTTTCCCATCTCTTTAAAATAGGGGCAGTCGTGGGGCCTATTTTATAGATAAAGAGGCTTAGCAAGTAGTAAGTGCTCAATAAATGGTTATAATTTTTATCAGCAGTATTTTTGCTATATGATTAGCAGAGGACAAGCCACCTAAACCCCAGGCCTAGGTCTGCTCAACCCGACAGGCCCAGGCTAGGCACACAATCTGCAATTCCTCAGCTTTGTCAACTCCCCTTCCACTTTCCCTAGAATGGCCTCTGCTCTGACTCCAGACAGAGTATCCCCCCACCTCTACCAGGATGATGTGAGTCCTTATCCAGGTCCCCTGCCCTGCGTGTTAGCTCAGTCCTGAGTGGAACCAGGCTCCTTAGGCCTTGGGGTGGGCTCCATACTAATGAGGGTATGGAGGGATCATGGAAAGTTCCAGCCCCTGTCTGGAGCAGCTCCAGCAGGGTCTGTAGCCCAGTGAAGAAGGGTCATGCCTGTGAGTTGGCCCATATCACTAGTTCAGGCCTAGCCTCTACGGCCTACCAAGCCCAGGGCCACCCCAGGGGGGATATGGCCACAGTAATAAAGGGTGGTTCTGGTGGTTCCAGGAGATAGACCCAGGCTTGTGGCCCTGAGCACCAGGTTCTGAGTGGGGATCACTGCCCAGAAATGCCATACTGGGTATGAAGGGCAGGGATGGGGGGGACCTGCTAGGGCTCCCTGCCCTCCCCTCACTCCCAGTAGGTCCTGGCCTGGCCCACACTGGGCACTGGGCACTGGGCCCAGCTCTCTGGGGGTGGGGTGGGGTGGGGTGGTGGGGTGGCTTCCAGACTAGTGGGAAGATGGAATGGGTAGGAGGACAAATGGTTGCCAGAGGGGCCACATAGTAGAAGTTCTGTGTTATTTCATTGCTGTTATATCCTAAAGGCATGGTGTGTGTATGTGACGGGGTGGGGACTGAAAGCAGGGTTGCCAGTTAAAATACAGAATGGGGGGATCCCTGGGTGGCTCAGCAGTTTAGCACCTGCCTTTGGCCCAGGCCGTGATCCTGGAGACCCGGGATCGAGTCCCACATCGGGCTCCCCGCATGGAGCCTGCTTCTCCCTCTGCCTATGTCTCTGCTTCTCTCTCTCTGTGTCTCTCATGAATAAATAAATAAAATCTTTAAAAAAATAAAATACAGAATGCTAAATTTGGTGATATATACTAAAATATTATTCACTGTTTATCCGAAATTTGAAATTAGCTAGGCAAGCTGTAGCTGTCTTTTTACCTCTTTTTTTTTTTTTTTTGAAGATTTTATAGATTTATTTGAGAGGGAGAGATAGCACGAGGGGTGGGGAGGGGCAGAGGGAGAGGGAGAAGCAGGCTTCCCGCTGAGCAGGGAGCCAGACATAGAGCTAGATCCCAGGACCCTGAGATCATGACCTGAGCCGAAGGTGGAGTCTTAACCACCTTAACTGGCTGAGCCACTCAGGTATTCCTTTTTCGCCTTTCTTTTGCTGTCTAGCAACCCTATTATTTATTTTTTAAAAGATTTTATTTATTTATTTGAGAGAGAGAGAGCACAAGCTGAGGGGGTCCTGTGGTGGGGACAGACGGAAAGGGAGAGGGACAAGCAGACTTCCTGCTGAGTGCAGAGCCCAGTGTGGCTCCATGTGGGGCTCAATCACTCCCAGGACCCAAAGACCCAGACCTGAGCAAAGTCAGACACTCAACCAATTGAGCCACCCAGGTGCCCCTGACAGCTCAATCGTAAAGGAGCATTGGCTTGGGAGTCCAGGGTGTGTACTCTTTACCCTTCAAATGAACCCCGTACATGCTGACCGGGGAGCCCCTCTGCCCACTGAACAAGCCCTGCACATTCAGGCTGACTCAGCAGCAGGTTCCTCCCTGGTATTCCCCTTTTACCACCCAAGGTCGCCTGCAGGGTGCTCAAGGCAGGGTGCAAGGGGTCTGCCTTATGCTGCGCCCGTCCCCGCTATGGGTCCTGGCCCAACCCCATCCCTGCAGAGCCTCTCCACGGCCTCCCTGCCTCCCTATTCCGGGTCCTCCCTCCCTCAGAAGCCAGAGGGCATTTCCTCCCTGCAGCCTGATCACACCCTTCCCTGCCAACCCCCTCCCATGCTCTGGCCCTCCTCATTGCCAAACTCCCTTCAGGACCTCGAAAAGCCCTAGTGGTCTGGCCTGGGGCCTCTTCTCCACGCCATGGCCCACCACTCCTTCCTCACGCTCCTCGTAGCTGCCGCACCAAAATACTTTCCGTTCTTCCAGCAGCTTCTTTTTCTCCTCCAGGCTTCACACAGGCTGTCCTCTGCCTGGAACATCGTCCCTCAGGGCTTTCGTTTGTAGAAAGACAAGAACACAACCTTAAGATCTCCGCTTCCCCCCTCCTCTGACCTCGTCATGCCTGGACTTTGCCCCTGACCTCCTGCATCTCGGGTGGGGTCTTCTCTCGGCTCCATGACCCCTGCCCCCCCCCCCCCATGGCACTAGTTCTTTTTCTGTCTCCCCCTGTCTGCTGCCAGAGTGAGAGCGTTTGCGGGACAGGTAGTGCCTCATTCATTCACTGATGCATCAAGTAATTGTGGGGCTTTTCTCCTATCCAGACACTGCACGGGTAACTGAGCAAGTCTCCACACAGGAAGGTTGTCCTACAATAAGCCACTTAACAAATTAATATATCATTAGTGGTGACTCATGCCAAGAAGAGAAATAAAGGAGAGAGAGGGAATACAGGGGCCGGGGGCTCAGGTTTCAGCAGAGGGAGCTGGAGAATGAACCCAGAAGTGTGGGGGTCGGGGTCGCGGGAGACAGAGAGCTAGCCTGAATGGCTGGTTGTCTGGAGAGTCCCGAGGCCAGAGTCCTCTGCAGGTTTTGCCACAGGGCGATAGTGATCTTTGGAATCTAGGGATGGGGAAGATGGGAGCTTGGGTCTGCTGTGAGGAAAGACTCTCAAGGTGGGGAGGGGAGGTGGTCCAGGGTTGGGGAGCCCTCTGCTCTTAGCAGGAGCAGAAGCAAACTCAGTGGGGAGGAAACCTTCCCCCAGGTAGGCCAGGAGGAGGCCTGCAGAGTAAGACTGGCTGATGAGCTTAAACACAAAACTTACCAAGTCACAGGAAGGCAAGTTGCCATGAGTGGGAACAGAGAAAAGGAGCAGCATGTGTGGACTTCCAGGGACAGAACACAGAGCAGCCATGTGTGACATGTTTAAAAAAAGAAAGAAAGGGTGTAGTCACCAAGGCGAGCATATAAAACAAGTAGGCATGAAGAGAGAGATTTGGGGAAGAACATATGGAAAGTCTAGAAGTGAAAGACTACAGTGAAAGACAAAATCTAAAATCCAGGGATGGTAAACAGGTGGATAGAGAATTAGTGGGCTGGAAGTTGAATAGAAAGAATGCAGCAAAGAGAGAGAAGGAGGTGGATAGTATGAATGAGAGATTAAGAGACACAGACAATAGAATGAGAAGATCCTAGATCTTAGAGTCCCACGAGTAGACGATGAAGAGAATGGAGGAGAAAAAGCAGCATTTGAAGGCATAATGGCTGCAAATTTTCTAGAAGCTGTGAAAAACAAATCCACAGAGCCAGAAAGCTCAAAGTACTTCAAGCATAATAAACAAAAAGAAATGCAAGTGTTACAGACGTTTTATTGGAACCACAGAGTGCCAAAGGCAGAGAAATGTTAAAAGCAGTCGGAGAGAAAGGACAAATCACCTACAGAGGGATGACAACGTGAGCGGACTTCTCAACAACCACAACAGACGTTAAAAGGCTGGAACCATCTTTTAAAAGTATTAAGAGCAAATGAATGTCAACTTAGAATTATGCCCAGCAAGAGTACTTTTCGAGAACCAAAACAGAAAGAAACGAAAAAAACATTTATTTTTACATTTACAGATAACCAAAAGCTGAGCGTGCTCCGAAGAAACTTCCAAAGGATGTGCTTCAAGAAGGAAAATAATTCCAGAATGTCAGCCTGAGTGCAAGATGGGATGGTGCCAATTCAAAACTCATCTGTTTAAAAGAATAATTACTTATTTCTGATGTTAAAGAAAAACAGGTCTGAAATGTTGGACAATAGTATATGCGTTGGCCAGAGAGGGTTGGGTAAAACCAAGGCTGAAGTGTTCTAAAGCCCTTGCACTTGGAGAAATGGGTGTGGGGGTCAAATATTATTTAACCTTAGACATTAATTAAATGTGCATGGTAAAACTTCAAGGATAACAGCTAAAACCCCCAAAAACGTGAAATGTAAACATTTCATTCCAAGAGAGAGGAAAAGTTAGAATAGAAAAACAAACACAGGGCACCTGGGTGGCTCAGTGGTTGAGCGGCTGCCTTTGGCTCAGGTCGGGATCCCAAGGTCCTGGGGTCGAGTCCTGTATCGGGCTCCCCACAGGGAGCCTGCTTCTCCCTCTGCTTCTCCCTCTGCCTGTGTCTCTGCCTCTCTCTGTGTGTCTCTCATGAATAAATAAATTAAAGAAAAAAACCCAAACACATAAAAAGGTTTTTAAAAGGTTAAGGAAGGAGAAAAAATAAATAAAGTAGGACTAGAGGTCCCTGGCTGGGTCAGTCATTAGGAGCATGAAACTCTTGATCTCAGGATCATGAGTTCAAGACCTACGTTGGGCGTGAAGCCTACTTAAAAAACAAATGGGGCACCTGGATGGTTCAGTCGGTTAAGCGTCTGACTCTTGGTTTCAGCTCAGGTTGTGATCTCGTGGGTCGTGGGATCGGAGCCCTGAATTGGGCTCTGCGCTCAGCAGGGAGTCGGCTTGAAGATTCTCTCCCTCTGCCCCTCCTTGCACTTCCCTCTTGCTCTCTATCTCTTTAAAATAAATAAATACATCTTTAAACAAACAGCGTGACTAATAGAAAAGGATAAACAACTCAAGAGAAAAATGAGCAAAAACCATCAACTGGCATTTTGTGAATGATAAAACAGCTATGGTCAGAAAACATGGCAAGATGCTTACACTCTCTGATGACCAGGGACCTGGAAATGAAGACCACAATGAGATGTTACTTTCTCCGCATTTGTTGGTAAAAGGTCCGATGTCTGACACTATTAAATGTTGGTGAGGATGTGGATCAAATTGAGCTCTCAAAACTGTTGGTAGGAGTGCAAATTGGTTCAAGCGGCATGGAGAGACAGTTTGTCATTTCTTTTTTTTTTTTTAAAGATTTTATTTATTCATGAGAGAATAAGCCAATTCAAAAATTATTGAATTCACTCTCTGTCTATAGAGAGAGGCAGAGACAGGCAGAGGAGAAGCAGGATCCCTGTGGGGACCCCAATGCAGGACTCGATCCCAGAACCCTAGGATCACAACCTGAGCCAAAGGCAGACGCTCAACCACTGAGCCACCCAGACATCCCGACAGTCTGTCATTTCTTTGTGAAGATAGGCCCTGGCACACCTGTGTCCTAGTCCACCCCCAGGATGCTATGAGGAAGCCCTCTCACGTGTGCACCTAGAGACAGGTGCAGCCTGAGGCTGTTCATGATGGATGGAGAACTGCTTGCAATCACAAAATGCAGGAATCATGTGAGTGAACCTAAGAAATGAGGTGCTGAGTGAAAAACAGCAAGTGCCCAGGACCACATACAGCCTGACATTCTTTTTATATAAAGTGCAAAACCAAAAAAGTAAATAAGATCCAAGCATGTATACCAT